GACTCTGTACTTACTCTACCTTAATATTTATTCATTCTTTTCATTGAGCTCAATTTGGCCAATAATTATTTATTGAGTACTTGACTGTATGTCAGGCACTGTGCAGGCAGTGTAATTCCATCAGCTGGAGGAGAGACAATGATGCTCTGGGGTTGACAGTGTCCATAGACTATGCTGTCTCTATCCCCAAGCTCCAAGGTGAATGGAGAGAGGGGCTGTCACGTGGTCACTTTTGAGTTTCTGGTATACAGCATAGCACCTGGCGAACAGCAAAAGTTTTTTTAATAAACTTGTATGCTGATGTGGCTTTGATTGGAACTTTTTGAGAGAGCTGAGTTCATGTCTAAATAACCCTTAGAATAATGCTTAGTCCAATGCCACGTAAAAATAACATTTAGGGCACCTGGGTGGCTCAGTTAGTTAAGCATCTGCCTTCCGCTCAGGTCATGATCCCAGGGTCCTGGGATTGAGCCCCACGTGGGGCTCCCTGCTCAGTGGGGAGCCTACTCCTCCCTCTCCCCACCCCACCCCCGCTCATGCTCTCTCTCACTATCTCTGTCTCTCAAATAAATAAATAAAATCTTTTTTCTTAAAAAAGTAACATTTAATAAAGGGTGAATTGCAGCCTTAATTGCAAAGAATTATACTCTGGCTGAGGTCCCACTTATATGTTTATTTGTATTTCTGAAAAATAGCAAATTGGTCTATCTAACTCATTCTAAATGTTCTGCAGTCATGCTGTTTCTGTTTGAAGCCAGACAAATTCTGTCTAAAATCTTACTGATCTGTGGATTAGGAGGTAATATCAAGTGATAAAGTGTCCAGGATGACGTGGCTGTGAAGGACTATTCTGGGCTACATGCAGGGAGGGAGATCTCTTGCACTTTAAAGTGTGTGGGTAAGTCCAGATCTGAGATAAGCAACCCAGCTCAGATGCCCTCATTTCAGAAAATGAGGCTGAGAAGCTAGAAATGGTTCATGACCATATGACCTCAAGGCTCCAGAGTTTCATAATACGTATTCTGAGAAAAAGGTTAGACAAGTCCTTACTTTGCCTAAGGGAAGAATATTTAAGCGTTTATAAGTGGTATTCTTGGCAGGCTAGCTTCCATCTTAGTCTTCACCCGGGCAATTCTTGTCTCTGACGAGGGGAGGGCAGGAGGTACGTGATGATGGCGCTCAGTCTGTCCTTCAACAAGCACTGATGCACATTCGAAATTTCGACACCCCTCAAGTTTCTAAAGATGCATCCCTTTAGGGGGCTGATGGCAACTCTCAAGGGAGAGCTGGATGTATAACCACAGCCCTCCTACTCCAGCCCCTAAACTCTAAACATACTTTAGATGTGAACTATCTAAATTCCCTCAACAAGAGTCCCTCATTAATTGGCAAAAATATTCCCAGGAAGGGGAGGATGAGGAAGCTGCCTTATGCACCAATCAGCAAAGCCATCTTCCTAAAGCAATGAGACTTTGAACCAGTAGGGAGCAGTGTTTGGTACCAGCAGTCTGTGGCTCAAATGGTCTCAAAAGAAGTCATCTGGCAGATTTTATACCCCAAATCCCTAAGAGTTCCAAATGTCAGGCTAAATACTTGAATTTTTGCTTAGTAAAAAAAAAAAAAAAAAAAAAAAAAAAATTTTTTTTTTGCTTTCCTTAGCCTTTTAGGATATTAGGGGAAATCAATGGTGAGAGAAGTCTTCAGCATATATATTTAATAATATTTTTGATATGAATATGTAAAATAATTCCATTGCCTCCTTATGCCTCATTGGGTGAGCTTCAGAGGACTTTTCTTGGCTTCTAGATTAACTCCATACAAGGACTGGAGTTTATCCGATGGGCCCATGTTGTTTGGGAAGCCCTCTGGAAGGTAATCCATGGTCCACTGCCTTGGGGTCTGACTTTACCAGTTTGTAAGTAGTACATTTCAATAGCCTTTTGAGTCTAGGCAGGTAAAAGAGAGAAGCTCGGACTCCTACATAATAATGGGTAAACTTAGAGAGAGAGAAATAGAGAAAATCAAGGCCCTTCTAGAGGGTGAGATCCCTAATACCTGTGCACTAATAGAATTAAGCCTGACATTATAAAAAGCATTATTCTTGGCTGACACACGTCATCTAAGAGCCAAGTTCTATTTTGGTCTAGGTTCTCTGCCATTCATTAGGTTTAAGCTGGCAAGCAAAGAGGCATATTTCTGCCCCTAGAACTTTTGAAGATTGAGATTGTCAGGCCAAGAGTCTAGAGATTATATGAGACCAAAGATACAGGCCAGTGACTTGGGCTGGAGTCACTGGTATATATTTTTGAAATTGCTACAAAGCCTGGAGGTTGTTGAGGGAAAGGAGAGAGGTGGGGGAAGGGGAAGGCTTTGGAAGCCAAGAGTGTAATCCAGTCTTATTGATGCCATGGTTCCTAGAGACATCTTTGGTGACCGAGTTAATGCTCTTTAGAAGATTGGGCCCCATTTATAGTATTCACCAGCTCTGGATCCCTAAGTGCTTTCCAGTATAAAGGAGAGAGGTATCAAAGGCAATGGTCCATCAGTAAGCAGAGATTGGGCCACAATTCAGATTCCAAAGTTTCCAGTCAAACCCCTAGGACTGTATCTCACCTTTTCATAATGGAAATAAAGTCAAAACACACTCCTTCTCCTCTTTTAGACTTAGTCTCTTCAGATTTTTTTTTTTCTATTTAGGTTCTAAAGGTTTAGGATAAGGGGAGGGAGAAGCAAATATTGTCATATCATTATTCCCTTTTCATAGTTGGGAACTGAGGCAATTAGTGGCTAAATACCTTTCCCAAGAAGGTTGTTATAGCACCAAGAATAGAATCTAGGTCTCCCAGCCCAGCTGTTAGGAGGAAAAATGAGCTAATGTGTATGAACTGCCTAGAGTTCATTGGGAGTAGGTGCGAATCCAAGGTATCGTTCATAATAATCATACCCCGTGCCTCTTGGTTTCCCCCATTATTAACTAATGACAGCACAGTAAGGAAGGGCTTCAAAAAGATACAATTAAATTTACTTGATCTTTTGTGAAATAGATGAGTTTCAAAAGCAGTGAGTGTGCAGAATTAATAAAATTAAAAGAACACAGTAACATAGTTTGAGACACATTTCAGGGACTGAGGGGCCTCAGCAGCATCAGAATTCCTGCTAAGATTCAAATGGAGATAGATGAATAGGGGATGAATAGGGAACACTCTGGGGAGACACTGAGGAATATTTTAAAGGTGGAAACTGCTACCTCAGAGATTTTAAGCATGGCACGTTCGACACTCATCAAAGAGTCTCTCCAGGCCTCAAATAGCAATGACATGAAGACCACAGGGAACTCCTTTGGAGCAAGCGAGGCCAGCCTTCTGGGGTCTCATGCTTTGCCCTTCAGGAATGTTAGACTGCACACTCCAATCTAGGCAGGTACAGAGCAAACCAACTATTGTTGGCGACCAAACTGCACTCCCAAATGAGGGGAGGTTAAGTGAATTTTCTGGCATTCTTAAGTCTTCCAAGATTCACTGTGATATTTTGACTACCTAGCCCAAGTCTAGAAAACTGTTGAGTTTACGGGCCCCTGGGTCTCTTAGCTCTGCAGATATTTATCATGCACTGCATGGAGACACACTGATTTTGATCTTACTCTGGTTAGCACTGAGCCTGCCACATAATAGGTGCTTTACAAATTGTTGTGCCGTCTGTACTCTTCTGGGAGTTTAATATAATCTAGGGTCACAGTGTTATGTAATACAGACCAATCGACGGATTATATAGAGGCAAGCAATATTTAATTGATGATTTTCCTCTTCTGCCATGAGTTTAATTACTCAAAATCTGTGTCTTAAATTTGATGGAAAAGTGAGAAAAATTCTAAGGTGAGGAAGGAGGAGAAGAACTTTGAAAACAAAACAAACAAAATCTGGCTAGTGGAAATGTGAACAGAGCTTTGGGTATTTCTAGGAAACATCTAGGTGTCAACTTGTCAATGCCTTTTTAAAAACAAAGGAAACAAAGAAAATTGATTGAAAAATTAAAGTACGGGAGGAAATGATGGGGGGAAACAATATCTTCCCCCCAACGAATCTACATATGCATGTATCTCTGGGCCCCCAGGACCGGCTTTCTGCAGCCCAGTAAGAATTGACTGAAGTATCAGGAAATCGGCTTTGTTCAGAAAATTCATGGTGAGAATATCTAAGCCTGGGGTGGACATGAAGGTAAAGGAAAAATCCTACATATGACTTCTCTTTTGTTGAAAACAAGGCAGAGAGAACCCTGGAAAATACCATCATCTAAAATGAACTTCTCTGCCCTCATAAGGAAGGGGATGAGAGAGTAAAGGCAATTATCACTGGGTCTGCTGTCTTCTTGGACTTCTATGGATGATCCCAGAGTCTCCTTCCTCAGTGCCCCCAGCATATCCGATGTGAGCATATCTCACACAGGACATGTGACACTGTGAGGTCCGGCTCTGTGTCTCCAGCCCACTCACTGCACATGACTGGCACACAGTAAACTCCCAGTAAGTGTTGACTAAAAGATGTGTAAAGTCAACTTAAAGATAGAATTTAAGAGCTATGAGATGTGGTGTAAATGCAACCATGTCCAAAATAGACATGGAAAAATAGGAATTCAATTAGATCCAGATTCCAAGCTGGGTCTTATGGGACAGAAAGGGACAAAAAGAAGAAGCTCTGGCAACTGGGAAGCCTCCATCCTTCGTGAGGATGCTAAAGCCATGCTGGTCAGGTTATGCAAAAAGAATTAGAATCTTGCCCTGGGGAAAACCAAAGTTTGACATGTCTTTATCTGGTCTGCTTACTTGAACTTCAGGTACTCCCTTCCTTCCTTCCTTCCTTCCTTCCTTCCTTCCTTCCTTCCTTCCTTCCTTCCTTCCTTCCTTCCTTCCTTCCTTCCTTCCTTTCTTCCTTCCTCCCTCCCTCCCTCCCTCCCTTCCTCCTCCCTCCCTCCCTCCTCCCTCCCTCCCTCCTTCCTTCCTTCTTCCTTCCTTCCTTCTTTTTTTCTTTCTTTCCTTCTTTCTTTTGTTTTCTTTCTTTCTTTCCTTCATTCTTTCCTTTCCTTCCTTCCTTCCTTCCTTCCTTCCTTCTTTCTTTCAGGTGCCCCTTAGGGACTATTTCTAATTATAGTGGTCTCAAGACACATGAACCAATGGAAAGACTATAGAACTGAAAGTTAAAGAGACATGGGTTCTCCACTTGATTCTGTCACAGTAACCTTGGACAATACATTTTACCTCTCAGATCATTAGCTTCTTCAACTGTAAAATGATAGGATTAGACTAGATGCACTCTGAAATTTCCTCCAGGGACATTCTAGACTGCATAGTCCCTCTCTCTGTCTAGATTCCATTCTCTTTCAACAGTTATGATACATATGAAGTTTAGATTTAGAAAATAAATAGAGGGGTGCTTGTGTGGCTCAGTCGGTTAAGCATCCGACTCTTGATTTTGGCTCAGGTCATGATCTCTCGGTGGTGAGATTGAGCCCCATGTTCGGCTCCATGCTCAGTGGGCAGTCTGCTTGAGATTCTCTCTCTCCCTCTCCCTCTGTACCTCCTCCTACTCATGCTGTCTCTCTTCCCCCCACCTTAAATAAATTATATCTTTTAAAAAGAAAGAATGAAAATAAATAGAGCATCTTGGCTGACGTTAAAAACAATTTAGAATTTGAACATCCAAACTGAGAGAAGAAAAATGTGAAGAGCTTCAGAATGGTAGAATTAATCCCAGTAGATTGGGTCATGGAAAGGAGATCCCCCTTAGGTGGTTTCCAAAATCTGAGCATTGAGTGGAACAAAGAAATTTGGACAAGATTCCTGGGCAATAAGGAAGTTGTTTGGAAGGAGCAAGAATTATTCATCCCATTCCATACAAAAGGAAATTGACGTCCAGAAAGGATAGGTAACTCTCTCAAGATCACACTGTGAAGATGACATCAGGACTGACACTCAGGTATCCTGCCTCCCACCCAATTATGTTGTCCAAATCTGTCCAGTAAGAGACCACCACCGCTTCCAGTGAACATGGATGTGGTACTATGACCCAGTGGAATTGGGTAGCACCCTGGCCAACTTGGCTTTCGAAAGCTCTACTGATATCACACCTGCTAGAAATTTCTGCTGTCACTAGAGAAAGTGACCACACAAATTACCCAGAGAGACTCCTTAGAAGCTTCCGCATGGTCAAAGACACTTCCACTGGCCTTGGGTCAGGAAATCTGATTTCCATCCCTTCATCTGTCACTTTAAGTTTTTGTACAACAAGTTCCTTCTTTGGGAGTCAAAAGACTTATTAAAGAAACTTATAAAGTGTAAAGTGATCCTAGATCAATATACAGAAACTACTGGTAGAGGAATTTTTACCCAATATCACTAATGACCTAAAGCAATTGTTCTTACCTACTTTTTAAATGTGTGTGTGTGTGTAATATACACTTTTCATATACGTTAGAATGTATATAATAGTGTACCCGCAGACACACACCACTCTTGTAAAAATTACATATGTTTGTATGTATGTATATGTATATTTATATATACTTCCTTCAGTTTAGCTGGGAAATCTGCTTCAGAATCAACTCCTGCCCTCTCCTCGTACTTGATATATAGCCAAGCAGGCCATTCTCGATTAACACAGCTCCCTCCTGGGAAAAGTCAGAGAATAACTTTATTGATTTCCCTTTACCCTTCTCCACATTTCTCTGCTGAAATGTTGTCTTAACTCTTAAATGTAAAAGCAAAAGGAAAAGAAAATTAAAACAAAGAGATTTGCTTCCTTAGGATCATGTTGATTCTCTTCTATTTTTTATTTTCTAAAAAAATTTTTTTTGAGGAAGAGGGTACTTGTGTGGGGGGTAGTAAAGAAAAGAGAGGATGATATGTTTTCCAAGGTTTTTGTGCAACAGATTTCTTTACATTGAAACCTGTGTTTTACACACAATGCTGGACTCAGTACTACATAAACCTCTTCTCCTCATTCTCTTATGACTTGGCCAGCCATCTTTGAAAACTGCCAAGACTTTTTGGCAAACAATCCCTCCAATGTTTCCAGGAGCATACCCAAGGCATAGGAATATAGAGAGTGTTTATTTCTCATCAGATTTTCCTACCTCAAAAGATCCCAACAAGATTAAGTATTTTATTTTATTTTTTTCTTAAGATTAAGTATTTTAAATGCAGAAAATTCTTTACTGATCAAGTATCAGGATGACTGATACAATTGAGAAGTTTCCCTGATGCAGTTTTAGAGAGGTCATAGGGATATTCTCTAGGCAGCCTTTCTGCTTGGACCTCTCGGGATGACCGGGGAAGGCTAACCCAGAGCCTCACTCTTGCTCTCCTTCCCCTTCTGACATTCTCCGGAGCCCTGGATTCTGACTATGCCTCGGTGGGGCCAGGATAGTGGAAGGAAGAGAAGGGCGATACTAGAGTGGCTTAAAGTAAAAGCTCTAAAAAAACACCATTTGCATTTTCCTCTCTTCCCCCCACTCCACGAATTTAGCTCTTCTTACTCTAATAACTGAGTTCATAAAAGCCTAGTTGAATTTCTATTTCGTTCAGTTCTCTTTTCTATTACCCACAGCTTTTCCTGTAAAGGGAAGAAAAAGATTGACTGATTTACACCACAATCACAATCTGATTCTTCCCCCACTTTAAGCAAATAAAGATGCCTAATGAAATAAACGGATTGTATTATTTAAAAATCGAAAGCTTATGTGAAAGAAACAACCCCTAAGAAACAAGCTAAAGAAAAGTACAGGAAGAAAATGAAAGCTTTGTGAGTAAACAAGGTTACAGAGATGCACACTGTTGAGTACAATTTAGTAGAGCAATTATTAACAATATGACAAATACCTACTTCCAGTGCACAAATAAAAGACACTCAAAACCACAAAAGGATAGTGATGTGCTATGCTGCCCTGAGGTTTAATAACCATAGGTTTTTTGTTTTTTTTTTTTTTAACAAAATACCCTTTTCCCCCCATTAACTTGCAAACTTAGTTTTAATTAAATGCCATTTTACTTTTTACTGGCCAGTTTATCTTTTTTCCCATTTTGTTTCTCTGCACATCTTTAATCAGACAGTGATTTGGAAGCGTTATGAGTGAAAGCGGGTAGAAAAGCATGTTAAGAATTGGGTCATCTTGTTGAAATCAAGTTCACTTTTGTGTAGTACAGCAGGAAGAAGGAAGAAGAATTTGTCCTAATATCTTGCTGTATCTGTCCCAACTCATTCCTTTCATAGGGTCTCAGCAGGGGGAATTATGTAGCAAGGCAGTCTGTATCCTGGTTAAATGGGAAAGTCTCTGGAGTACATTTCCAAGAACAGCCCCCCTCATGGCAGAGGAGCCAATATTGTACCTTGTAAGAGGAAACACTGTTTCCTCAGGCAGTATAGGCTCTTTGTTGAAATTGGCAACAATGTACCAGTTGCAGGCAAGAGGGTCCATTCTGCCTCTGGATAAATGGAAAGGCCAGAAGCTTGTCCTATCCAGGAAGTACAAAGCACACTCTCAGTTTCCAAGATCTAATAGAAAGGTCTTTCCTGGCTTCCTATAACACCCAGATGGAACGCAATGAATTCACCACAATTTGAAGCTACTAGGTAAGAAAGTGTTTGGAATCAAACGTTCATTCATTCATTCAGAATCAAACGTTCATTCATTCATTCAGCAGCTCTCACATAGACTGGGCTTTGCCTAAGCACAGTGTGAGGTGGAAGAAAAAAGAGACTGTATCCTGCCCTTCTGTTCTTCTCAACTCCTACTATCCTTGGTACTTCCTTTGATTTCCAGTGGCTACTCAAAAATCCTCAGCCGAAAACAGCTTCCAAGGGTTCATGTATTCATTCCAACCCCTTCTCTCCTGCCTCCATGTAGAATATCATTTGATCCAGGTTTGTGTGAATATACATTATTAATTAATGTTAAGTCTCGACAATGTCCGTCTTTCAACAAGTTTGACACTCAGACCACAAAGAAGCTGTATCTTCTGCCTCAAAGTGAGAAACACCTCTATGCTGATCTCTGACATCTAAAAGGCAGGAATACTTCTTTAGATTTTGCTCCCTAATGTGAACAGCCCTGGGTGTACTTGCTTCATTTCTTAGTCAGGAAGAACCTAGAGCTGTGGATGCCTAAGGGAGTCATTCCAACAGAGACTAGAATTTCAAGAGAGAGAAAATGTATCCAGCTGCTTTGTCTGGTGCTTATGATACATGAAAGTATCACCCTCCCCATGGTAGACTAGAGGAAATGATCAGCATGAATTAAGTCATCTCTTCAATGATGTATTGCAAATAATTTCTCTGGTGAAATAACAAGTTCCTGACCATGGTATTGTATGCAATTAAATAAACAAATGCTATTATTTTGATGTTGTTTATCACATTGGGAAGACCTCAGAAACCTCTTGTTCCAATGGATAGACCGGAATCACTAAAAACCTTGCCTCCCCTTCCCAGTTCTTTGTCTAAAATGTGTTGGGAAAATGGTGCATTAGGCACATTTCTAATTGGGAACAGCCTGATTATCATAGTGCACCCCAATTAGGTGATTTGTAGAGTACTATTATGTGGACAGAGAAGAGACTTAAAATAGACACATCTAAGTTAGCAGTAGCAAAGAGGCTATGTGATTGGATCTGGTGTTTCAAATATCTTTTATCAAAGCAAAAGGAGAAAGAATATGCCTTGCACAAATTAGCCACAGAACTTTCTAAAGAGAACCAATATGGAACATATACAAAGGTAAGGTCATCTGTAAGGAAATATCCTCTCTTTTCAAACAAGCCGTGGAGATTGCTTGAGTTATCATGACCTTGGGCTCTTAGTTGCCCTTATGCCATGTGGGTAGGAACTCAGGAACCAATGATGCCCCCCAGTTAGCCACATCCAGAACTGTAGCATCTGCTATCATCCAAATAATGGCAAGCTTGTAGACAAAGGCTGATGAGTAGGGGGGGAGACAACAGGGAGTTACACAGCATACTTTGAGATAAGGCTGTTTGGAATCGTCTTTGCCATTTCTGTGTATTTCATGCTATAGGCAGAACAAGTATTTAGGAAATACTTTGCAGTTTTTATAAACTTACGGTGATTCCAACACTCAACTGGGGAGTCACAAGATATTCTACTCTGGCAAAGGTAGAATTTAAAGGTAATTTGGGAAAATCCACCAAGTGTCTTGTAGAAAACCAAATGGCAAAAGTATAATTGAAACCAAGAAGATGGATAATGGAATCATTCAGGCTTGCATCTGAAACCCAGATCTACCACTTAATAACTCTGTGGACTCGGGCAAAGTACTTAAGTTTTTGCAACCTCACCTCAGATTCCTGATTTATAAAATGGTGATAATAATATTTTCTCTCTTTTTTAAAGATTTTATTTATTTATTTATTTATTTATTTATTTATTTATTTATTTATTTATTTATGAGAGAAAGAGAGAGAGAGCCCACACAGGTACCCATGGGAGGGGGAGGAGTCAAGGAGAGGGAGAGAATCTCAAGCGGACTCTGTGCTGAGTGTGGAACCTGACGCAGGGCTCAATCTCATAACCCTGAAATCATGAACTGAAACCAAGAGTCGTACACTCAACCGACTGAACCACTCAGGTGACCCAATAACAATATTTCCTATGCCTACTTATTTTAAGGTTAAGTGATACAAGGAATATAAATTGTTTATGACAATGTCTGGCATAGGGTAAGCACTCAACAATGTTCGTTCTCCTATTGCTTTCTCTTTATTGATGCATACTTTCCCGATTTCCATTTAACCTCTCTTTTCTGAGTTTATAGAATACTGATTTTTCTATGCTGTTCAGCAAGTCTTTTTTATTTAATAGTTTTAAAAATTATTCTAAATATAAGGCATAGAAGGAATATGAGCACTGAATAATACTTTCCATTTTTGCAAAAGATGCTCATAATCTCCTGAGAAAGTAGAAACATGGGTGTGTAACTAAAAATTAGACAATGACAAATGGAATTGGTTGATTAAACATTGGGGATGGATGGTATCTATTATGCCAAACACCATGTAAGGTGACAGAGACTCAAAGATATATAGGATGCAATCATTAAACTTCAAGGCCCTTAACTTAGTATACGAAGAGATATATGGGCAAACAACCACAAAGGAAGGTGGAGAGTACAAATGATACCAGATAAAGTAGTGGCACAAAGAATGTGAAATTACTTCTCTTGGTGGTATCTGGGAAAGTTTCAAGAGGAGAAGGTATCTAGGCTAACATATAAAAAGAACTAGGCCAGGACATAGATAAAATGAGCAAATTCCTTGAAAAATACACTTGCTAAAACTGACACAGATGAAACAGAAAATCGAAATGGCCTTATATCTCTCAGAGCAATTGAATCCATTATCTAAACCTTCCCACAGAGAATATTCCAGGTCCAAATGGTATGATTGGTAATTCCTATCAAATATCCAAGTAAGAAATAACACCAATCTTACAAACCTTTCTGAAAAATAGAAGAGGGAACACTTCCTAACTCATTTTTTTATCAAAATTGGAAAATAAATTACAAGGCAATCACAGACCAATATCCTTCATAAACATAAATGCAAAAATCCCTAACAAAATTTTAATAAATCCAATCTTGCAACATATATATATATAAAAACATGGTCACTCATTAGGATTTATTCCAGGAATATAAGATTGGTTTGTATTTAAAAATCAAGGTAATTCATCATCTTAGTAGGATAAATGGAAAAAAGCACATCATTAGATGCAGAAAAATTATTTGAGGGCATCTGCCTTCAGCTTGGGTTGTGGTCCCAGTGGGATCGAGTCCCGCATCGGGCTCCCTGCTCCGCGGGGAGCCTGCTTCTCCCTCTGCCTCTCTCTGTCCCTCTCTCTGTGTCTCTCATGAATAAATAAATAATAAAATCTTTAAAAAATTATTTGACAAAATTCATATTCATTTTTTATTTAAAAAAACTCTCAACATATTATGAATAAAAAAGGAATTTTCTCAATCTGATAACAGGCATTATATAAAAAAATGTGTTGTAAATATCATCCTTAATGCTTAATTATAAAATTATTTCCGCCTAATGTTGGGAAAAAGGCCTGCTCTTCTCACTTCTAGTCACCATTTCCCTGGACATCCTAGTAATTGTAATAAAGCAAGAAAAAGAAAATGCATAACTAGAAAAAGAAGTAAAATTGCCTCTATTTATAACTGGTATGCTTATTTATGTAGAAAATCCTAAAATAATCTATATAACAATGACCAGAACTAATAATTGCATTTAACAAAATCATAAGATATAAGATTAATACATACACATTAATTATATCCTTAATACTAGCAGCAAATCATTGGAAACAAAGAATTTTAAACCATTTGAAATAGCATCATAAAACATAAAATACTTAGGAATAAATTTTCAGAAATATGCATATAGTGAGTTCCATTGTGGCTCCCAGAATATATGTCTACCTGGAACCCCAGAATGTGACCTTTTTTGGAAAAAAGGTCTTTGCAGATGCAATTAAGGTAAAGATCTTGAGATGAAATCATCCTGCATTCAGCTGTTCCCTAAGTCCAATGACAGTGTCCTCACAAGAGACAGGAAAGGAGACAACACTGTGACCTAGAAGGGGAAGGCCCTGTGAAGACATAAGTAGAGAGGTTGGCTGAGGAATAACAAGGATTGCTAGCAGCCTCCAGAAGCTAGGCATGGAACAGATTCTTCCTTAAAGAGTCTTGAAAGAACTAACCTGCCAATACCCTGATTGTGGAATTTTGGCCCCTAAACTGCAAGAATAAATCTCTGTTGTTTTAAACCAACCTGTTTGTGATAATCTATTACAGTAGCCCTAGGAAAGTAATACAAGGTGTAAGATCTTTATAGTGAGAAGGGCAAAATATTGCTGGTAGAAGTTAAAGACCTAAAGAAATGCAGAGACATACCAGGTTCATAGATAGGAAGATGACAATATCATTAAGATATCAATTCTACCCAAATGGAGCTATAGGTTCAAAGTAATCTGACAGTCAAAATTTTAGCAAGCTTTCTTTCCTTTTTTTTTTTTTGTTGCAGAAATCGACAATTTAAAAATATATACGGAAACACAAAGGTTCTATAATTTTCAAAGTAGTTTTAAAAGAATGGAGTTTTCATACTACTTTATTTCAAGATTTACTCTAGAGGTATAAGAATAAAGACAGTGTGATATCGGAGGATAGGATAGACATACAGAACAATGGAAAAGAACAGAGTCTAAAAATAGACACCCACTTACATGGTCAATTGAATTTTTTGACAAAAGTGCCAAGGCATTATAACGGGGGGAAACGTCATTTCAACAAATGGTGCTAGAACAAGATAACTGTAGAGGAAACAATAAACGTTGACCCTTATTTCATACCATATACAAAAGTTAACTCAAAGTAAATGACAAACTTTAATGTAAAAGCTAAAACTATAAGTCTTCTAGAAGAAAGCATAGGAGAAAATCTTTGAAACTTTGGGGGTAGGCAAAGATAAAGATAAGACATAAAAACACAAAGAACTATAAGAGAACAAACTGCTAAATTGGACTTGATCAAAATGTAAAACTTTTGCTCTTTGAAAGACACCTTTAATAAAATGAAAATACCACAAATTGAGAGAGAATCACCTGCAAAACAAGTGATATAACACAGTGGTATCTAGCATCCATAAAGACATCTTATAACCCAATAATAATGGTAACTAATAAAAAAGATAAAAATTTAAACACTTCACAGAAGATATACAAAAGGCCAATAGGCACATGAAAAGATGCTCAAAGTCATTAGTCATTAGGAAAATGCAAATTAAAATCACAAGATGCTACCACACACCCACCAGGATGGCCAAATTTAAAAGATCAACAGGTTTTGACAGGACTATGGAAAAACTGGAACTCACATATGTTCTTGGTGGGGATATAAAATGGTAAGCCACTGAGGACAACTGGAAGTCTCTTAGCAAAGTTAAATATACATCTGCCATATGACCCAGCAATTCTACAACTAGGGCTTACCAAAAAGAAATAATAACATACGTCCTCACTAAGACTCGTAAGCTGGTGTTCATAGCAGGTTTATTTATCATAGGCAAAAACTGGAAGCAACCCAAATATCCATCAACTGGTAAATGGATAAACAAATTGTCATATACCCACAACACAATGAAATATTACTCACTGATAAGAAGAAACAAACTACTTACACATATAACAGTATGGGTGAATCTCAAATTTTTTTTTAATAGATTTATTTATTTATTTATTTGACAGAGAGAGACAGTGAGAGCAGGAACACAAGCAGGGGGAGTGGGAGAGGGAGAAGCGGGCTTCCTGCCGAGCAGGGAGCCCGATGTGGGACTCGATCCCAGGACCCTGGGATCATGACCTGAGCTGAAGGCAGACGCTGAACGACTGAGCCACCCAGGCGCCCTGAGTCTCAAAATCTTTACACTGAATGAAAGAAACAGATGCAAAAGAGTATATACTATATTGATTCCATTTCTATAAAATTGTAGAAAATGCAAAACAATCTATAGAGGCAAAAAGCAGATCAAAGCTTGCCGAGGGCCAAGGTGAGAGGAAGGCAGATGGCAAAGGGACCCAAGGAAACTTTTGGAAGTGATGAAGATGTTTTGTATTTTGATGGTCACGGCTGTGTTATGGATGCGAGCCTGTCAAAATGCATTAATTATATATTCTAAAGGGATGCGGTGTGTTGTATGTACATTATATCTCAATAAATTTGCTAAACATATTGAGGAGAAAGATAACAGATGGATGGGGGAAGATGGGGCATGCAGAGAGAAGCATAGGAACAAAGCATAAATACATGCATGCCTTATCACGGAAAATAGTTCACAAATGCCCTCCGGGCAGCAACCCTGTCTTGTATTATATCTATGGCCCTCGCAGTGTCCAGAAATAAGGAGGGCAATGATGTTTCTGAGTTGCAAAGCGTTATTCAGTATATATCCACAGGTAGCTGTTTAGAGAGTGTTAGATCGACCATCAGAAAACTAAGTACAAATCCCAATCAGGTATCCTTCTGAGGACCCGGAAGTCATTTTACCTCTCAAAGCCTAAACTGCAAAATAAAAATAACAACATCCCCATAATACAGTTGTTGGAAAGGTTCAGAGAATACCTACGATAGTACCTAACAAAATTTCAGTACATGTTCTATATCTATGACAAATAGTGGGGCTTCCAAACATATTTGTTGATGGACATACCAGCTGTTATTTGGTTGTTCATATACTCAAATCTCTTATTATGTGCAGAAGTATTATCCACGTCCAATGATTTTCTTAATCAGAGACACACTTCTATGTCACTCCGGTCAATGAAATACTCCAGAAATTAGAGTTGATTTTAATATTAGGTTAGGCAGGATACAATTACCAAAGTAAATATGTTCCTCACCAAAAAAAAAAAAAAAAAAAAAAAAATCACATAAAGCATTCCAAAATAGAAGTGACTTGGGGCTTCTGCATTGTTTCTAGATTTTCTATGCCACTGTTTTCAAGGAATGCAGTCAATGGAGAGCAGACTATTGTCTAAACAAAACCCAAACACACAAAAGATAAACAAAGATGGGTAAATGTGGTCCCGGTCTCAAGGTTTCAAGGAGTAACTAGAATAAAAGATACAGAAAGGGCACTTGACTGACGACGGAAAATCAAGGCAGAAGGAGGCTCCTTAATCCAGTCGCTCAGAAAGGGAAAATTGCTAGAAGATGGTCTTTAAGAAGGAACCAGACACATTTAGTAAAAGAACACAGGCACCCCTCTCCCCAGAAATGAAACGGATAATCTGATCACATTTTCAAAGACTGATTGATTCATACAAATGTTGGCCCAAAATGGCAAGTGACAGAGGAGAGCAGTTATATTCGTTGAGGAGGTCTGGGCTCAAAGACCTCAGATGAGCCTTGTTATTTCTCCGTGTTGTGTTCTGTGGCACACTGGTGAAAAACTCTTCATGAGTTTGAGGGGGTTTGCTTTTTAATACACTTTTGTTGGTAAACAAATTTCTTTCTTTTAGTTTAGGGGTCAGCAAGCTACAGCCCTTGAGCCACATCCATCCTGCTGTGTGTTGTCCTGAAATCCGCTTGCTCCCACTTGTTCTTGTCCATGGCTGCATTCTCACCACAATGGCAGAGGGCAGTGGCTGCAACAGAGACCAGTTGGTGCACAGAGCCTAGAATATTTATGCTCTGGCCTTTTACAGATAGAGTTTGATGGCCTCCTGTCCTGGATAATGCAAAGTTAGATCCAGATACTGGAATATCTGCATCAATGTTGTATCAGGTACCGGGAAACTATTCTAAAAAGCTCTCTCGGAAGTTGTTTCTTCTCATGGTTTAGTGGGATCCTATTTAGAACTGAATTCTCCCAAAGTTTCCTGAAATCATTTTGCTAAGATTAAGAAAAAGGCTTTTCAAATATCATAAGTTTATGGAAGAAATTGTGCAATGAACTTAGAAAGAGAAGTTCAGTTTCAGGGTGCCACTTAAATAGAACCAACTATGAGGCAATCTGTGTTTCTCTGTTCTTGTCTCATTGAGGGGCAGGATTCTTCTTTGGACTTCTGCCTGGCTGTGGCTGAACTCTGAGGCCTTAGAGCCACCCATGCCAGCAAGCCCTGTGAGAGTGAGCAGACAGGAAACCTTCTATTCCTATAGCCAATTTTCAGTTTTGCTTGTTAATATATCCCCATTTGTCACCTGACCTTTAAAATCTAAGACTATTTGCTTCAACTTGTTCCTCTTTTGTAAATTACTGCTCTGTACTTGAACCTTAGTCTGCTGTCACCAAACCCTTCCTGCTTATTTGAACTTCTGGTCCCGTTCCTTCCAGATAGCCCCGTTCTCATGCTGTCCATATCCCAGCATGACCCTGGGTCTTTAGTCCTCCATGGGTTCCAGTTTAACCATGTATAAAATGGGAATACTGTGTTTTCAGGTACTCTGCACAGATCTACTGAAGAGAAATAACGAGGCCACCACTGGAGATACAAACACTATTCTAATTTGCAAGCATAACAGATTCTCTTAATATTGATATTACTAAAGAGAATTTAAATGATGGCTGTAATCAAACTATTTCTGTATCGGTTGAAAGTAGCCCATCTAGAAATCATCATAAACTTTAAAACTTAAAATATTTTTCCTCTAAAACAGTATGAGAAGGAAGAGTATGGCTTCATGTTCATTCTTAGAAAAACCTAAAAATAGCAAAGAAAGAAAAGAATGCTACATATTCACCTGACACATGAAAAGCCCACCCGGATACTTCTAGGGACTCACAAATAACACAAAAGCTTAACACAAAACCTAAAGCTCTGAGCTAATCATGGTACTTCTTAATCTTTCGATAATAGAACACAGTTGTGATCTTCAAAGTGACTGTTTCTTTTTTCCATCTACCCAAGGGTTTTGTGTCTAGCTTACTCTTCAGCGCTTGGTGCTCAGGGCATTGTTCCATGGTCAGTAGGGACAATACTCTTCAGAAGCACTGAAAATGACAGTATTCCCATTAGTGAATGAACACCACCTTACTCAGTTTTAATAAAAATGGCCACCAGTGAAATGAACAAAATGGTGTATGTATAGGTGTGTATTTGGGAGGAGTCACCCAAGATGGGAATATCATATTTATCTTTATTTTTATAATCCCACAGTAAGCTAATATTTTATTGCATGTGATTGATTACAGGAAAGTTTATAATTTCTCCACTTTCCAGACACGAGACTTCACTTTCCACCCCTAAAATATGTACTGACTTGTGACCTAATAATCTATACTATAAATAGAGCAACACACTCTGCTCCCCGATCCTGAGGTCAGTATTTCTTCAACCTCAACCTCCTAGCGCCCAGCCTACAGCAGTGAGCAGATCTCACTGCTTTTGGACACTCAACATAGCAAGCTGAATGTCTCCACAATACTCTATGCCTTTATTTTAAAGCCCCACTCAGAACTGTATATTGACTCTTTTCACTTATCATTTCCCTCGATCTTGGTTAACTCCTTCGCCAGGCCTGACTATGTTTTAGAGAAACAGGTTCTAAGTGACACGGGGGAGCAGTGGAAGGCAAGCACAAGCAGACCAAGGAGAGACAACTGCCAACCATGAATACGAAGATGACCAAGAAGCAAAAAGCAAGGAAAGACTTTATGAGAGCACAGAATCAACAATGCTCGTATCCTAAGGTGACCCTTAGCCACCAAGTGGGTTAGGGGCAGAAAACTGTTTGGAAAGGCTAAGAAGGCTGAAGTGTTGTGATGACTGCTAGATAGCTTTTATTCTTATAAACATTTACTAACATGGAGGACTTTGTTCCTTGATAAAATAGGGTAGGTGAGGAATTGCTAACATCATTGAAGAGGGGCTGATTTAACACTTTTATGTGGCCGTTGTACATTTTTTTCTCTTTTGCTCTTGCATGTAGGGTCTACATGGCCAGGGAAGGCCAGCCTGTGTGACTTTTGCCCCATGCATAAGTGCTGTCAGGTGCTTAATGAATGTCTGGTGACGACGATGAACAAGAGCTTAATAACGGGCTCTTCTCTGATTAATGGGGCTTAAAGTTAATTTTTTTCATTCTCTTTTTGCACTCATTTTTTAGTGGGTGTAGAGAGACTACAAAATGAACATTCCTTGAAAGAAGAAAAGCAGAATGTTCTATTTAGAAGTAGGTAGATAGCTTTGTTAGAATATTTGCTGATGGTTAAGGAATAGGATTTCCAAGATTTTATTCCTATGACTCATTCTATGATGTGGACATAATCTGTCTTAGCCAACCTCCATTTCCAAGATTTTCATAACCACATTTGCCATTTGCAACATATTAAGAGGATCGGCAAAGTTAAGAGATCCTTGATTCAATCAGAAACAATACTTACTACTTTTGCAATAATCCACCTATGAGCCAGAAAACCAAGGGGGTGTTGACTACTGCTGTAATTCTATGATTCTGCCACACCACAAAGGAAGCTGTTTAAGTTTCTACTTGAACATGGTATTCCACAGAAACCCTTCTCTCTCTGCTAATGGATGACAACTTTATAGTCTTAGGCTCCCCTCTGGGATACTCTTGTCTCTCATCACCACTGAGTCACACAAAAACAGGAAAACCAACCTCAGCTAAACAGGATTCCCCATTCTGATTCCTTCCCCCCCCATCTACTGAGCCATTGTTCTTCCAGATTTAGAATGTGTAAGTTATCTTTGATTTGCCCCTCCCCCACCCTCCCCAAGTCCATTTTTACAAAAGTTATAAAGTCTATTGCTTTTCTGTGGACATGTGTCTTTTATCTCTTCCTTTCCCTCCACTTTTCACTGCTGTCTTTGACTAAGTTCTTCACCTCCTCACCTCCTGGATAACTCCAGCATTTTCCCTACTGGCCTGCCTCTCTTCTGTTCCTTCCCCCTCCAGTCCATCTGGAGTTCCATTAACAGAATACATACTCTGTTTTATTTTTTTTTAAGATTTTATTTATTTACTTGAGAAAGAGAGTGAGAGAGAGAGAGTGTGTACGAGTGGGGGAAGGGGCAGAGGGAGAAGCAGACTCCCTGTTGAGCAGGGAGTCCTATGTGGGGCTCAATTCTGGGTCCCCAGGATCATGACTTGAGCCGAAGGCAGATGCTTAACCGACTGAGCCACCCAAGTGCCCCCATACTCTGCTTTAAATTTTGCTTTTATTTTATCATTTCCTAACCCAAAGTCTTCACTGACAACTTAAGCCATTTCATATCTATAAGACCTTGCATGTGAGAAAACCCCACAGGCAGTATAACACTGGAGAATTATTGTCATTAGCCATAGTGATGCTTCCTGGCTTTTAGGATATGACATACTATAACCTATCTTCTTGGAAGTATAACCTGATTTGAAACTGCTGGCCAACATGCTCCGTTGGGCTCTAGTTGGGTCAGGCTCAACACTGTCAATGAGCATGGCCTGCTCTTCCCTTACCAAGCGTTCCCTACAGAGGGAGACATGGAAGCTGCATGAGAGTACAGGTGGGAGCTTTCCATGTTGTGAAACGATCAGACATACATGGTTTGTCCAAGAGCTCTGTTCTTGACCCTGTCTTGTTTATCCTATTAAATTCTTGGATAAAAATAGATTATATTCTTATCAAATCTTCAGACATTAAAAGGGAGGGGAAAGAAAAGCTATGCCAGACAACAAGATCAAAGTTCAAAGAGAACTCCCACAAGAGGTCAAATGAAGAGCACCAAATATGACAGAAATAAATACATTTTGAATGCTAGGTTCAAAACTCCAACTGAACTGGGTGGGGGGGGGGACTTCATAGAACAATTATTTTAAAATATTTCCAGGGGAGGAGATCAGGATGAAGGTGAGGACTAGGGTGCAGGGGAATGGACTATTTATAAGGGAAACAAACCAAGCCAACAGGCTGAATTGTGAAGGATCTAGAAATCAGATATAGTATGTAGATTTATTCATATTTCTCTTGAAAAGAGGACATTAAGAAAAGATGTAATATCTCTTCTTTTAGGACTATCCTAAAACAAAACAAAACAACCCAAAAAACCAGGGAGTAGAATTATTCCCTGCAGCAACAGAGGGAGGAACTAGACCCACTGGGGGAATAAGATGTATCGAGAAGTTAACTTCTTGTGACTCAAAGTGTTCAAGTATAGACTGAGTGACATCAACACAGGAACATACTTTTTTTTGGCATTCTTAGAGTGTGGAGAGTCTAGACAACCTGAAGATTGTTGACTTTGAGCCACTACAGTGTGGTGTTGTTCCTCCCACACCCATAATACCCTCTGCTCACCTGTCTCTGTACAATACTGATTGTATATGGTCTCCAGTCAGACACCTCCATCCTTCTCACTAGAGTGGGAACTCCTTGAAGTTAGGAATTGTTTTTTATCTCTATATTCCTGGCTTCTAGCATAGTTCCCAAGGAACTAAGGTACTCAAAATATTGTACTGAATTAACTGCATTATAAATTTCTACCTTGAAAAGTCCTACCACCCTTCAAAGTCCAGCACGCATTCCCACTTTCCACAAGATTACTTCCCTACTCCTATATATTCTGTGCCATACCATTTGCCACAATGTACTTCTCCATATCTTTCTTTGTATAGTGTTGTTTAATGAGTGCCATCTGTATCTCCCCAACTAGACTGTCAGTTCCCAGTGAACAAAAGGATACTATTTAAAAATAGTAGAAAATTTTAACATTAAAAAAAAAAACCATCTTCTTATTACAAAGAGAAAAACAGTAACTTTATAGTGAAGAAACATGGCAGACACTACCTTAATCAAGTGATCAAAAGTAACATCACCAGTAAGACGACATATTAACATCATTGACCCAGATATGATGTCATCATCTCTTCTGTGGAATTCTTGCCAAAAATAAGTAGCCACAATCTCATCATCAGAAAAACCATGTTAATCCAAACTCAGGGATAGTCTACAAAATATCTGACCAGTAGTAATCACTAGAAGTGTCTGGGTCGTGGAAGACAAAGAAAGACTGAAGAACTGTCACAAACTGAAAGAGGCAGGAAACATGACACTGAGTGCAATGTAAGGTTCTGGGTTGGACCTTGGACCAAAAAAAGGGCATTTAGAGGTAAAAGTTGAGAAATTCTAATAGAGTCTGGGGATTAGTTAGTAGCATTATAACAATGTCAATTTCCCAGTTTTGATCATTATACAATGGTTATAAAAATGTTAACATTAGGGAAATTTAGATGAACACTGTACAATTATTTTTTAAGTTGTCTGTAAGTCTAAAATTCCTTTAAAATAAAAATTTAACTAAATCATCTTTTGGTTTTCATCAACCAATTAACAAGAGAATGGTACCTATGCAAAGTTTATACACTTTGAAGAGGAAGTGGTCATTAGTGATGAAGAATTTGAGTGATCTAAACAACTAAAACTAAACAACTACCTTTAACCCAAACAAACAAGTATAGTCGATTCTCGTTATTTGCGGTAGTTACGTCTACAGAGTTGCCACAAACACTGAATACTGAAGTGAATACCGAAGGGCTGCTCCCAGGGGAAATACAGGGAGCGTTTCCTGCAAGCCTCTGGTCATGTTTTCATCAACTCATCAATACACAACCTTGATTTATGTGTGTTTCTGTTTAAAGACACCTTATTTAATATATATTGTTGAGTCATTAACATTGAACTCACAGCCAACAGCTATAACTCCTGCCTGAATGAAGCTTATCTAACACATGTATTTTCTCCATAAGGCACATGACAGTTCTTTGTGCTTAGGAACTAGCCAGCACTTCCGCATTACACTTGGGGGCCATTTTAAATGATGAAATCATCAACAAAAAAAGTGCAAAGCTGTGAAAAATGTGGCACTAAATGGACCTCGAAAAGGACACAGGATGAGAGCCGAAACAAGAAGGCAGAATATCACCTTGTTTGACCGCAGCTGGGAACGCGTGAATTAGGTGACATAAATTTTCAATGCTCTGTGCATGTCTGCAAATGACCAAAAAAGCACTGCCATTATTCATTTGGGTATATAAATTCTTTTTAGCGAGTTGGCAAATTTGAAAATATGGAATTCATAAATGAGTATTGATTGCGCCCTTAAACGTATCCAGTGATTGTGAACTTAGGGTACCTTTGCCTTAAGTGAATAAGGGAATAAGTACATTACTTGCATTTGAAATGACAAATGGAACTCCTGAAAAATTAGAAAGTGCCTGAGGATTCGCTACGTATCGGAGCCCAGTGGCAAGAATGGGGCTCCTTCACTAAGACTTGTCCGGTTTTCATATCACAGTTTTCTTCGTGATGGAGACAGTTCATGAACATTGGTCTCTGGACTTTCATTCCGTGTGGGGGTGTTTCAATTCTATAATTTAGTTCTGTCTCAGTTACAATCTTTTCCTCCATGCTGTCTGAGGGCCTTTCCGGTACCCTGACCTCATCCAGTCCAATGACATTAATCTCCTTTCATTTCCAGTGTAGTCCACCATACAGATGGCCACAACCTGAGCTTCCTCATCCCCAGAATCGGCTCCACCCTCAGGAAATCTCTACATTTATTGCCTACCCAGTCCTCCCTTGTACTGGACGCATTTGATTTCTATTTGTGACATAGAAACTCAAAATTCCTTTGGATCCCCCCAGCTCATCACTTTCTTCTAGCTGTACTTCAACTTTATCTCCATTTGGTCAGTAACTTTTGTGAAGTCATTTCAATGATGCTTTCACTAGAACCCCAGATCTATTATCTTCTGACCTTTTACAGCTTTCCATTTTCCAAACTATGATCTTGAGTGATTCCCATTTGTTTCCCCTGCTTCTATCCCTGGCCTGCCGGATATTGCTGTAAAAATGCACAAGATCATACTGCTTAAGTCCAAAATAAATCAATTTACTTAATCAGCCTTCAGCAAGTATTTGTTGTCCTTATTCTGATTCTTCTACTGTTGAAACCCTGTTGTCCTTATTCTGTCCTCCTTTCTACACACGTGGCCAACGCTCTAGTTCAGACTGATACGGGGATCACCTGAGTCTATAAGTTCTTAACTAGTCTCCCCACATCCCGTCCTGTCCACTTTATATGCTAATTAATCATTTTAAAGTAGACAGTTAATCAACCTACCTGCTCCCCATAGCTACACCTGGCAAAACTCCAAACACCTTTACGTGGCATTCAAATCCCTCTATGAACTGATTTCAGATTACTTGTAAAGTCTTTTCTTCTAATTTGTCTAAACCCAAATGGACTATTTCCATTCCCAAATAGGTCCTCCTTGCTAATCAAGCCCCTTCTTCATGCTTCTTCCTTCAACAGGCATATTTTGTCCCCAGTCTCTGTCCCTTGAAATCCAACCCATTCTTCAAGCCCCAACTCAAAATACATCTCTTTCATGAAGCCTGCTCCAATTCTGCATTTGGAAATATCCTCTTCCTCTGACTCACCGTAGCCCTTTGGAATTGCAGTTAATGCATTTGTATTTGTGAAGTAATCATCTTGTAATTATTTTATTCCCTTCACTACATTTCAAGATCTTTGAAGGCAGAAATATCATATCTATCTTGCCTTTACCATAGCACCCAGCATAAATGCTCAGTAATGTACTATTTAACGACTGAATGGATTTTATATATATTAATAATATAATAATATTAATGGATATATATTATATATATATATAAAATCCAAGTACAACAGAGAAAATTGAGCAGATACAATACATTGTTAATGGCCGATATTATTGATGTTAATTATTGATCAATTATTGATAGTAATCATTGATAAATTAAAATTTGAGAGAGACAGAGGAAAAGAGAACACAAGAACAGTAAATTAACAATTATTTGATAAAGTGAAATGAAATTGATTGGGAAAACCAATGAGTTGACTATTGTAACATTAACTCTCTGGGCAGGGTTGTACTGAAATCTTTTCAGAGAGATGTATTTATTTCCTTCCTGGGATTCAAAAATAAAAGGTAACATACGAACAAAATGTATTTAATGAATTCTTAAATTGAACAAACATTGCTAGACGCAGTTGATACTGTAATAGTAACTCACTTAATTGGAAGGACTTTTTAATTTTGATAAGTGAAGAAAGGAACTCAGTACTCACTGTCTATTCCGTTTGCACAACAAATACTAATGGAACAAATTACCATCATTACTATCACTACCACCACCATGGTAAAATATATTCCTCAGTTTAAAAAAACTTCAAAAACTATAGTAGAAATGTGGCTCAGTAGGAAGCTATGACAACTGGGGAAGCTTAGTCACATCAAAGCAAAGCCATTCATCATCTTCATGACCAATGTGGTTTTATCTACACTCAATAAACAATGCAGAAAAGGGTAGATTTCATCAAGGGAGATTTCCTCCCCAGTAAGTTTCATCCCATTGCAGGGAAATTGCATGTGAGTAATACAATTTCTGATCAATTCTGTTCTGATAAGCATAAAATATTTCTCTTCAGGCCTTATTCAATGTATCCACAGTTGACCAAACCTCTGAATTTCTGGGAACTCCCAATAGCCTAAGAAAACTTTTTCAAAAAGCCAAGCCTCAACGGTGTCCTATTTTCACTTGGCTGTTAAATCTATTTCAGATCCAATCTTGTGCCCTGAAACAATAGCAGAATGAAAGGAGAAAAGCCTGTAGATGCTACAGAATACAATACGGAACTTAAACGTGGGGTGCAAATGTTAGCTGAGTTTCACATTTCCTAAATCACAGGCCTGTCAAAATTGTTTACTGAAAGAAAATCTGGTTCAAGTGAGCCAACACTTATTAAGCAACTATTATGTGTCAGCTTGGGAATAAAAGGATGATTGAAATGGTGTCCGTCCCATCAAAGAATTCACTAAAGCTCTCAGTAAAACAGACATGTATAACACTCATCTAATGATATGCTAGCTGTTTGAACAAAGTGTTATGTGAGCACAAAAGGAAGAGCTGACTGAGGGAGGTGAGAGGCAAACAGAAAGGGAGAAGGTGACCTTTGAGCTCGACTTAGGAGGACACAAACAGTCAAAACAAACGTATCCTCAAACATGAACCCGGCCCTCAGCGGGGATCTGAGTTTTCGGGTAATTTCAAAGCATGAGCAATGAAAGTAATTGAAATGGAAGATAAATCATGGTAGAGTGTGATGAGACACCAAACTGAGATAAGTTAGTAAAAGGAGCTGAGGAGGGTGATACTCTCCCTTAAACCTTAAGACTGCAGGATGAGGCATACACGTGACACTTCATATTGAATTTATTGTGGGAAGTGACCTGAGAGATGTCTTCACTTGACACAGTAGGGGTTGGGAGTGACTTACTGGAACTTGTAGCATATACTCCAAGAGAGCCCGTAGAAAAATTATCTTTTAAGAAATGCTTTCATTTAAGGATAAGCAACATAATCAATTGTGCCCTGTTACAGGATGTCAGAAAGTAATGCATTGTATTTATATGGCCTTTCTCCTCAGTGTTGAACTAGAACGGACTTTCAAATGATAAATCAGGACTAGGGAAGCAGAAAGCACCATAGAAGGGACTGATCATCAAGCCCCCAGATGGAATGCCTCACTACGACAATTTTTATCAGAAAGGATCAGCATCCAGACACCTCCTCTTAAAATAAATGGCCTGAAGCTTACCCAATTGGCTTAGGAACACAATTCATGGGTAATACTAGGGTTTTGTCATCTGCCTTCTTATTTGTTATCTCTTAACCACATTCTTTTAAACCTGTGTATGCCAAGTAAGTTGGGCAAGTAATCAGCTGAGAAGCTCTAAGTCCTCTGGAAATAAGATCTCTTGACTGTCCCTGTATTTATTCTTAAGGAGACCCAATGTCATGTATGGAGGAGATCTGATTAAAAAAAAAGTCAACAACAACAATAAAACCATTTGATGTTTAATCCCAAATAGACAATTCAAAGTATCACCTGATGTAGAAAGCATAAAACATTTGTACAACACAGAGGGGAAAGAAAAAGACTCCTTAAAAACATTGTCTTTGCCAACACAATCCCGAGGAAACAATTTTTTTATTAAAAAATTGAGATTCCTCCCAATGCTTCATTTGTCTCGATAAATGTAGCCCAAGGCACAAAAACACATTCTTAATAAAGTTGAAATGCACAGTGATTATGCTTTATTTATCATGCTTGTATTTTTCTAGCAATTTTTATTTTTCTATCATTCCCAACATTTTTAATTTCCCATGTGCCTAGGATAGAATGTAAAATTAGAACAACAATTAAACGCAATCTCCATTGAAGAGTTTTCTTGATAAGTACAGCAAAGGTTTACTGATTTAACAGGACAACATGTTTATAATTTGCTGGTGGCAGAAAAATAATTCACTACTGGGGAATTCTGACATCTAAAATCTACATATTGAGATGCTGGAAGGAACTAGAGGGAATGTCTATGATTTTAATTTACTTATCCTATTTAGAAAAAAAGAAGTCACTTGAGTCATTCTGGCTCACTTTCCTTAGCATTAGTCATACTGCATTTCCTTAAGCCTGTGAATGTGTTTCTATGTAAATAAACTATGTAGTTCACTTGGGGATAAAAGTCACAGTATTTAGAGATTATAAAGACCTATTAGATCATCCGGTCTGGCCCACAAGAGATAGTCCCTAGATAGGGAATGTAACTGTTGATCTTTGCCAAGAGGCCAAGAAGAAACAGTTGGCAAAAGTATTTTCCACGCTTTTTAAAAATTTTAACTTATCTAATAGTGCTTTGGTCACTTCCCAAGTGGACGAGTAAAATTATCATTAAACAGTTTCACTTATCAGAGAGACACACAAAGCTTCACTTATCTGAGTTGACCATGTTCCAGCTGCCTCCATTTGTTGAAGAAATGATCTTGTTTGCAAAATATGAACAGTAAGGCATCTGCTCTTTGAACTAGCCAGGCGGTTTCCTTTCAGTAAAGAAAGTCAAAAGGCAAGTTCTTCGTAACTTTTTCCTAATCTATTTTCACCAGTTTCAGAGCAAGAAGATATTAAAACACTGATTTGCTCAAAGTGGGAAATAAATACAACACACGAGGATACAGTAGCAACTGACTACTTTAGAAATCAAAGTGTTTTCCGTTCCCAGTTGCTACATTTCCTGAAGTTGGGAGTAATTTCAAAATTTAAAGTACGGAGAGGTTTGGCATGATGGCAAAAGTCAAGGAGCAAATCAGTAATAGGAACCCCAAAGAAATAGTGAAGATACCTATTCTGGTAACCATTCCCTTTGTTCTGCAGTTCTTAAATCCTTATTTTAGACACACCCTCTACGTTCCCTCCACCCAGATTATATTCAGAAAATTGTCAATGCTACTCTTTAGTATTGACACCATTTCTATGGAGAAAGTCATATAAATAAATACATAAAAAATAGCACAAATAGGAAAACTAACGTATAGTAGAGGGTTAGTAGGTAATGTAAAAGGAAAATGAGATCTGAACATTTTAAGTAGAATTATGTCTCATCTACTAAACACAAACCAACCTAACCCATGATGTAAATCTTCTGTTTTTATGGAGTTAGGGTTTCCAGAGTGGGTTTGATATTTGCGTCATGGGAGATTATATTATAAATGCTGTTTTAAAAAATAGTGTGGTCCTTGACTTCTTGAAGTCTACATCCTAAGTCAAGCGCTTACATTCCATTTAAGCCTGTAACAAATTTGAGGATTTCAGAGGAACTCAGTAAGACTCTCCATGAGCACTGAGCATGCACTGTGAGCTAAGCCCTTTGCAGGTGTTGTGAAGAATTATAAAGGAGGTATTAGATATGGTTCCTGCCCTTCCAGAGCTTATAGTATTACGGAAAAGATAAATATCTACTCCCCCATCCCTCAACTCCCACACAGGATGGAAAGTGAGTGACTAATTTCTGTTATCTAGCTTATGTTAACTTGAACTAGAAAATCAGAGTCCAGACAAGAAAGTAGCACACTGAGATGGGGAAACTGAGGGAAGTTCAATGAAAGGATTATTTTCGAAGATTGGGCAGAGTTAAGACAGACATTAAGACGTGTAAATGTCCAAGTACTAATAGCAGGGGAAAGTCATTACCAAGCCTAGGTGTGAGGGAACAAGGTGTGGGGGGCTGGTTATCAGAAGCTAGAAGAGACCTAGAACTGTCAGGGTGGCCACCATCTTCAGTAGGGAATGAAGCCAGGTCAACCCATGGCCTACAGGAAGACTGTCAGGGGGATTACGTATCGGACCTCTACCTCCACTTTCCCGGGGTCTCCTGCTGGTGCCTCCCCTTGGCCAAACACAATTAGAAGCCAGAGGGCCAAAGGGACTGTTGAGGCAGCCCCTGATTAACAGTCTTTGAGAGCACAGAACAGGATGAACAAAGGTAGAGGGAAGATCTGGCAAGGCAGAGAAGAGCCAACAGAGCTGGCTAAACTTAGAACCACACAAGTTCACAGGATAACGTATGTGCTGTATTCAGAAGGAGATATTTTGGTAGATCGGTGAATGGTAGGGTTTAATTGACAACAGAATATTTTGGCACTTTTCTGTTAGATGAGATCACAGTCAATATTAATTTGAGTTTCCAACTTAAGCCGTAGGACATAAATGGTAAACTCTAGTTTAACCAGTATTCTGCCACGCTGAGGCCCACAACTGGCATTTCCACACATCACCTAACTATACATCAATTTAGCTTGATAGTCCTGATCTAGAAGCACAAGGTAATTTCAAAGCATGAGCTAGGAGACTAATTGAGATTAAAGATAAATTGTAGGCAGAAGGTGTGCTGAGACATGAAATAACTTATAAATCTGAAAGAAATATTACATTGTATACAGAACAATCTTAGCTTTAAGCAAAATATAATCTTTATTTTTTTTAAACTGGTCATTCGTGTCTATTATATATGACGATTTTGATAAAAACCCTATTGATTAACCAGAAAATTCTGTTTCTTAGTCATGAAAGGTAATAAAAAGTTTACTCTTCCTCCCACCCTCAACCAAAGCTTACTTCCCATAAATTCATTTTGTACCTTTCTGTTCAGTCTTCGGGGATCTATTCTCCTTGAGTTTTATGCTTGATTTAATATGTGTTTTGCATATTGGTTCTAGCATTTTAGCAGAGCTTCATTACTCAATAATAAAAAGCTACAAATAGATTAAAAGACTTTTAAACCTTTAGAGGATTCAGAGCACACATCATGATTGCCCCATTTATGTTTTGAAGTTGCTTATTAGCAGTTGACTAGAAGCAGCATATTGGTATAACACTGTAGCCTCACCATTGAGCATGATCTGCCCCAATTTGGAATTCAAGCTATGATTTGAATTCTATACATTTTATTCAAGTTTAAAAATGGCAACCGCAGAACACTTGGGGCCTTATTCATTAAACAATGAGTCATTCTGGAATTCCTTTCCCTCCTTCCTGGACTTGGTGAACTTTTATACATGAAATTTGGCTGCCCTTGATGCAACTGAATCAACAATTAGAGTACTAGTATTGTAATGTATCAGCCTGGCTGGGAAACAGGTCTAAAAATTCCCAGTTCAGTGTAAAAGCTGAACGCACATGCTGTTCTTTCCCGCCACCCCACCCCCCACCAAAGCCGGTGTGGTCATCTGACAGGATTGGGTGGTGATCAATAATGTATACCCTCCCTCCAAATGTTTCAAAGACTATACATAACACAGAACATTTGATAATTATTTGGTGCGCCTAAACTGCGCAGATAACCCCTCAAATGGATTCCTGAACCAGAACTTTTTTTTTTTTTACCACAGAATGAAAAGTCTTTAAATCCTCAAGAAATGGAGCATCCGAATTTTAGCTTCTGATGACAATTCACAAACTACACAGCAAATTTCTTTTTACAGTTCTATAGGGTTCTCAACACAAGGAGATTGTTTTTTCTTTTTTTCTTTTTTCGCTTTTTCTTTTTATTATAGCTATAGGAGACAACAAATGCTAACTAAACTTATTACTGTAATCATTTTATAATATGTGTAAGCCAAACCATTATGCTGTATGCCTTCAACTTCTACAGTGCTGTATGTCAATTATATCTCAATAAAACTGGGGAAAGAATGTACTATAGGAACAAGAAGTGACCTTGACTAAGATTTCCCTGAGGGATACTCTCAAATGAATGGAAAATAAGACCATAAAAATATGTTTCCATATGACCTTTATATGACCATACAAAATGCACAGCCTACTTTTGGGTAATTTTCAAGTGAAATCTCAGCAAAATTATAATGTGTTGATTTTTTTTTTTTTGCCTTGGTTCCCATTTATAAACATATTGGTACACAATCTATCTGAAACACACAACAGATCAAGACCTATGCACAAAGGTAGGACAGGAAAGAAAGAGGCAGCTATGTCTTCATATAGCAATTTGGCCACGTTTTAGAAAATACCCCATAAAATCTCTTACCCTGAATTTGTCCCTTGAAAGGTTAAATCTCACTTCCCCCTGCCAGAACTGGAACTATTTACTAAAGCAACAGAAAGAAAATGGAGGAGACAGAATTTTCCATCCAGGGGAGTCTCAAGCCCTATCGAACATGATGTTGCATGAACCGCCCCCTCCTCCTCCACCCTTCCTTAATGCACCATATAGAGAGGGCTCTCGTGTTGTAAAGGTGTCATATATATTTTCTCTTCACTCAAAGCTTCCTGAATAAAGAGAGATCTATTTGTCTCCATGGTGTTTTCGCCATTAACGGTATCAGAGCTGCAGGAACACAATGGGAGATGTGTTTTCCGTTAACCTCTTGACTCAGAGATGTCCTGATGCTAAACGTTATTGCATTTTGCATTAGCACAGAACAGTGGGAGTTCTGTGACTGATGTAAAAGGGTTGAAAAGGGCCACAGAAGCTCTCGTGTGCTCCATACTGCAGTTCGTGGTAGAGCACGAAGCACATAATTTTTGTTTAGAAAGAGCACAAACAGGAACCAGGGAAGGAGGTAGTGAATTTCACATATCCCACATACCCCCTTCTGTTCACCACTGAGATAACCTCTACTGGAAAATGATATTCAGTCCTTTAACATACCCCATTCTTAGACATTAACTAGGCAGAAATTAATTTACTTTTATTACCCCAGCGATCTACAAACCATGGAAGGACCAAGAGGATTCATAGTCACTGTTTTCTTAGGCTACTTTTTCCATTGCTTTAATGTGGCCTTCAGTGTTGGCAGTTCGTTGTGGTCACAGTAACTGCAAACGTTACCATTGTGCTTGTGTCCCTTTGACAGCATGGAGACAGAACTGGGAATATCCCCCGCCATGTCAGAAAACAGAAGGATACGGAGGCTAAGAAGATTGTAGTCACTGCCATCTAAGATTCCTGAATGACAGCCGCAGAATTGCAGGATATTCTACAGTAGAGGTACCTCAGAAATGATCTGGGTCTAGTCCACAGATTTATATATTTAGACACCGACAGTCAGAAAGCTTAAATGATGAGTATGGCAGAGCCTTGTTTGATACCTGCACTCATGCCCCCGGCTGAATTCTCTTTACATGTGCTATTCAAGGATGCTTTGTGGAATGGATGATCACTGTAACCAGAAAAGTCTTCAGGACTATGCTCAATGTCACGGTGTCCCTATTTCTAAGATGCAACTTTCATAGGCCTGCATCTTGAGTTCTGTTGGTGAAAGGAACTAAGATATTTTTAAAAGATAAACTTTGTGACTACAATTAGAGGGGAAATTGCTGTACTGATCTAAAGATGGAAAGCTGTCTCCAAATTTCTTGCCCTCAGCTTAAAAGTCTGGACATCCTGGGATTCAGAGGCAGTTGATCATGTAGAACTTTGCTACTCAAGAGTATGTTCTACACCAACAGTAAGAGCTTCATTTAAGTGTTGGTTAGAAATGCAGAATTTTAGGGCTCGTCCAGACTTACTGAAGTAGAATCTGTGTTTTAACAAGATCTCAGGGGATTCATAGTAATTAAAGTGTGATAAACACTATTGAAAGGAAGCTTTCAACGGAACTTGGAAGTATAACTGTTAGAGAAACAGAAGGCAAAGACCACGAGAGGTTGGTCCTACTCAGAAGAGAAAAACAAATATTTCAGTGGGGTTAGAATTTGGAGGGCAAGAGATGAAGGGAAAATTGTACAGTAGGACAAGAATGGTAATGAGGTAAGGTGTTGCAGTTCAAACTTGTACTAAGTATTTAGAGAATATATATTTGGTTGACTAAGAAAACCTTGGTTTATTCATTTCTTCCTGGATCTTCAGAAAGCTGGGAGAAGACACTGAACCAAAGACAACTCTGGCAAGGCTAGGGTTTGTCCTTCCAAAGAATATCTCTGGAAGTGCATACTTCCAAACAAGAAGGGGATCAATGGAGTTATCACATACTAGTTAAATGTCTCTATTAATAGACCAAGTCAAAGTCAAAAATAATCTGATGCATGCGAATGAAGAAGTATAAATGACCTGTGTTCAGAAAAGTTTATAAGCTCGCTGTTCTAACTGGCCAGAGTCTCCTTAAATCATGTCAGCGAAATGTTCTTTTATGGATGAAGAAGGTCAAGATGCCAGCAATACATTATGTTCTGAAGTCTATCAGTGTGCTAGAAAATAGCTGGATTAAATTACCAGATTCCAAAAAATTAAAATAACATTTGTACCACCCATATAGATATTATAGTTTCTTGATGATATTTTAAAATGTAGCATCATGTACCTCTTTATTTTTTCCTTTTAGCTAAAATGAAGTCTCAGAAGATACTATGGTCATTTGTATTATACTATGGTGTATTTAGGGTTTCTGGGACCAAGAATGATTATCAGACATAGAGTTCAGTGAAGAGTTCCCTTGAGGAAAGAGAACACATACTCACCAAAGATGAAGATAAGAAATGACTCCTGTTGGAGAATATTCTACCCAACCCGAACTGCTATAACTTACACTAAGATGTGTCTAAAGTGGCCTCCAGCATAATTTATTTTTCTCGCAGTTCCCAAACTGTCCTACCATGGGCTACTAGCTGAAAAATGGCAACACTACAACCTCCTAGACACCACAGCCATTCTAGAAGCAAAGAGAGCATTATGTAAAATCTGGTGGGTACATCCTTATTACCTAGTCAGTAGAAATCCAATCATGCGAAAGTTAGTTTGTTTTCAAAGCATGACCCCAAATACTCCTTGCCTCTTGGGAGCCGTGGCTATTTGAAACCATTGAAGTTTATGGCACTGCAAGGAGAAGATCTTATTGTCTTGTACAGGAAGATAACTTGATTAAAAAAATAAAAGCTTTATAAATGTATGAACAGTACTAAGTAGGTCCTTATATGTCAAGAGGCTACGGATGTTTAATACACACACTCTAAGCCAACACAGATATAGGTAATAACTGTTTCATGTCAAACTCATAATAAATGTGACGAAGTAACTGCTGCTTTGCCACTCATATACTCTGGGCAGATTGTGCAAGTTCACTCTAAGTCAGGCAAAGTGTCCATCGTTCTTGACACTAGTCATCACCACGGAATGACTGAGTCTTGTTTCTGATTTAGTCAATCCCCACATTATTACCAGTCCAGTCTCTTGGCATTTTCCCGCAGAAGTTGGTGGGAATGCACCTCATTAACAGGGACATATGTAACATTCAGACAAAGGCCAGCTCAGCCCCAAATCCAAAATGTGAATTCACAAACATGGCTCTTGATCTTGGGAGCCCCCCAGGATAGAGGGTGCGAAATTACTTTCAATTTGATGAACTCTAAGAAAGTGTGATGTGTTCCTGAGTTCCTTGCCCTTTGCCAAGAAACCTCCTCCTAGTGCCTCCTACTCTGGCGCCAGGCTGGGTCAACGTGACTTCCTTTGACCAATGAAGTACTAGCAAGCACAAAGCAATCAGAAGCTGGCAACCTACTTAAGCCTTATGGCTCTTCCTTGTTCTTGCTCCTCTGCCTTCGCCATGAGAACATGCAAGGAAGAGTTTGTTGGAAGACACAGGGCTATGTAGGGCATAGAAAACTGAATTACCTCAGCACCCTAGTGACCCCATCCTACAGCTGACAGCCAGAATGAATGAGACCAGCCAAGACCAGAAAAACTGCCCAGTCTAAGTCACTGACCCACAGACTCACGAGCTAAACATGTTTATTGTTGTTTGCCACTGAGCTTTTGTGTTTATTATGCAGCATTCTTGTGACAATGGGTAATTGATAAGCTGAATCCCTCAAAGGCTCATGTTTTTGGTGAAACAAAATCCAACCCAAAGAAACAGAACATGAAAATACAGCATGGGTACAAGAATTAAAACCTGAATTCTAAAATGCCAGTAAAATAACTGTACCCAATCTTACCTTTCACAGGCTTTCCTAGAAAAAAAGGCCCGGAGGAATCGTGATCGTTCTCGGCATGTTGCTTTGTGCAAGACCCAAGGAAAGCTAGGAGGCTGTACAGTCATCTCCCTTGATGTAATTCTAAACTATACAACCTACTACCTCAACCTGGGAACATGCAGTCACAATGGCTGGAAAGCTACCATTTCTTAAGCAATGAAATTACAAGTTAGTCTTGTGATTGTTCTTCGTGCTGTCACCTATTTGGGTCATTCATAAGAGACAACACATCAGAGAAAGTAACACAAGAGTCCTGGCTTCTTGAGATCACTGTGCATACAAGAAGGGAGGGAAGACTAAGGGTTGTTCTTCTTGGTATTACTGGTGCATCAAAATTATGGTAATGTTATATAATGGCGTTTATTCTGATCAAACTAATGCCCTCCAGTGTCTATGTTAACAGAATATAGAAGTAGACCAATATTTAAACTTGAACAGTTGAAAAAAGAATTTAGGAAAACGAATGTTTCTACTGTGAAACTGAACAACTGTCATCTCTAAAGGGTCAACACACAAGGGGAAAGAGCTTCAGCCAAAACATGGTGAAAAGTTATAGGAAACAGGATTATGAGCAAAGCAGAGATAGACAAATAATATAGAAGCTACATTGAACATCCACTCAACAATATTTACCATAATATTACATAATTCACATATTTATCAAGTGCCCCTCCTTCTAGAATTGAGTGTTTCAGCACTTTTTTTGGTATAAATTCTTTCCCCAATACTATATTTAGCAATGTGTAAAACGTGACTCTGTATTTTTTTTTTCCTTCTAAAGAAATACAGTAGATTTCCCTGTTTGCTTTTAATTTTTAAACTGGGTCATTCCTTTATCATCAGTCCCAGTCTGATGCTGGGGCAGCAGACTCTTAGCAGCTTGATGACTTCCCATCTCCACGTGAACTCACGTTGGATCAGCTTTGCACTTCCCCATGAGACCGCTCTCTGGTCTATAGATGGCCACCTCTCCTCATCACTTAGCTAGACTCTCGTTTTGCCTGGTAAAAGCTGTTCCATAAAGGAGCTGGGCCCAGGCATATAGAGATGGAGGAGTATCTAAGCACATGGTGACTAAAAGAGTGATAGTCCTATGGTGTTGATTATGTTCAAAAAAATAGATCCAAATGTTGTAGAGTTGGCATTTTATCATGCTCCACTAACCTGGAGAGTGACCATTTCCCCAATCCTATTCCCTGACGCAGATATCATGGAATGGGGCTGCTTTTTTTGAGGAGGCTGCCTCTCTTGGATCAGTGCTAGCTGGTTTGGGGGAAAGACTGGGAAGTTAGTTTTACCAAGCAAACTCCCATTCAGCCTTCAAGCCTCAATTCAAAGAGTTCTTCCTCTGATCACTCATAATTTCATATACACATTTCTAATTTAACCCTAACACTATTGCATTATAATTTATCTATCTGTCTCTTTTATTATACCTTGAGCTATTTGAAGATGGGGCTGCGCTACTCACCACCGCAAATGTAACCCTACCCGAATGCCTACTACCTGGCACAAAGGAGGGACTTAAAAATATGTTCGTTGTATGAAAGCAAAAGCATATGAATGAATGGGTAAAGTGGGAGTATAAATGAACCTAAAGATAAAGGCCAGGTGGTTTTTATTTTTCTGTCATGTCTCTTGTCCTACTTACATTGTAACTTCATAGTATGGCAAAAAAAAAAAAAAAAAAAAAATCGCAGAATGGCTGAATTCAATTTGGCAAGTTTGCCTTAAGTCCTGGATCTCCTATGGAAATTCAAGGAGTAACTGTGAGTCCTCTGCCTTTTGATATTCAATTATGTATAAGATTTAATATTCACTAGGACAGTGGAAGAAAACGTAAGTCATTGTCTTTCCTTTGCATTTGAATTTCTCTCATTTTCCTTGCACTGACCATTTGCTTGATTCTGTAAACACTGTGAAGGCCTAACCCTTAAGAACGGAAAACAATGAAAGCGCCCTCTAAGAGTTAGCCAAAGAAGGTAGAACAAAGACAGTATAAGTTTTGATGTGCTAGCATGCTAGTATATTAGCCTAAATGTGTAGCTTATAGAGCTTTTAAATATCCAGAAGTGGAAAAATTCACCTTCTTCTAGGGGTCAAAGATAGAAAGATGTTGCTGCTGGAATACTAATGGTTTTCAATACCCTGCTCTTTTGGTTGTGTGAATTCCTTGTTTATTTACACTGATTTTAGCCCATTATCATGTATTAGTGCAATTATGGCTCATTACATAATTAGTGTAAATATTTGTAGGCATGCAATAACAACATGCAATTATGATATGGAATGATGTCATAAAAAGTCTTATTGAAAGAAAGAGTAAAAAAACAAAATAAGTAGCATTTACAGCAGAACAGTAGTTATATATCTTTAGGTATAGGCAATCTATTGTACTCTGTAACTTTCAAAAATAGATTCCAAAGATATTCTGAATCCATATATACAGACACTGAAGTCTGAAGTGCTATCAGCAGCAATCCCCCCAAATGAAAAGACGGTGAACCTCAAACAATGCTACAAATGTCTGAGATCATGGAAAAGGATGGACTCCCCAGGAATAGACACATTCTGTATCGATTAGGTATTTGGAAGCTGGGCAACTATTAGGAATAAAGCATGATTCATTAAAATAGGTGTCCGTGTAACTGACATGCAATCCTACGAAGGGGATCCTGAGCAAATAACCATTTTTTTGAAGTCACAGTCATATCTTCACTGTTTCACAAAGTACTGAATACAGTAAGCATTCATAAAACTTCATTGGGCATGGGGCGCCTGGGTGGCTCAGATGGTTGGGCGTCTGCCTTCGGCTCAGGTCATGATCTCGGGGTCCTGGGATCGAGTCCCGCATCGGGCTCCCTGCTCCGCGGGAAGCCTGCTTCTCCCTCTGCCTCTCTCTCCCTGTCTCTAATGAATAAATAAATAAAATCTTAAAAAAAAAAAAAACAAACACTTCATTGGGTGAATGAGTGAATGAATCTCATAATTTTTCTAGTCATATGGCTATCCCAAAAGAAATAAGGAGCTTCATTCTAACTTTACTTTATTGAGCACCATGTCAGGTGTTGACAAATCTTTGAAATTTTTGAAGAGTCATTCATATTGACTTCTCTGTAAAATTTCAGCACTATTCCAGGCATAAGAAGCTTAAAAAACTTAGAGAGGCTAGAGCACATCGGATGAGGTTAAATACCATAGTCAGCCAACAAAGATTCATAAGACCTAACAGATACTAGGGAATTATTGGTAAGCACATTGAAAAAGAAGGAATCATATTAAATTAAAATTCAAAGTTAATTATTTCCCGTACATACCATTTTTTCTTGTAGAAAAATCTATTTATTAATTTTGGAATAAAAACAAGAAACTCTTTTAAAACGAAGTATCAACTCCTCCCTCTGCCCCCCACCCCATCTCTGGTGATGAGGGTTGAATTGCTTTATCAAATGCAATTCTTGGAATAAGAATTATAATTTTGTTTTTTTTTTTAAACTAAACTATATCCTGATGTTACAGCTTCATAAATGTATTTTGATACCAACAATTTGAGGATTTTAATAAAACTACTTTGTTTTATATTCATTCTCTCTACACCTCCATGCAATACTGACTACTGAAATATATTTTTAGAGTCTTTCTGGGGAAGACCTGAAATTATTTTACTTTCTGCAGCTTCCTATAGAATATTTGGCCCACTCTGAGGGAGACCCAAAGGAATAATTAATATCTACAGAAGCATTCATTCATGGACATGGAAGGAGGGAAAAACACTGAATTGCATCATCATGTAAAATATTTAATATCCTGTTTCTTGTGGCCAGGATCCAGGGGCTTTGGGTTTTCCACTAGAATATTTTCTAGTCAGATGAATCAAATAATAGTATCACAGGTCTTTTAGAAACCTTGAAAAGACTGACTGCTCTCCATAAACTTTTTTCTTAGGGTAATGGGTTTTAAAAACCTCTTTCAAAGAAACAACCTGGCAGTCACCTCATGGGCATCCTGTAGTCCTTCTGGTGTCTTTGTATGGGGACTATAGGCAGCTCAACGTCCCCTTGGATTCATGAACTCCATTGGTCTCACTGGTAACACACTTTAACGGCAGGTTAATGGGATGATGAGTGGAGACATGATTTTGCCTTTATCAAAGATAAGTATTTATCCAGGGAAAATACAAGTTTAATTTGCTAGCAGCTTATCCATTCTAAGTCAATCACTTCAAGAGGCAGGTAAAACCAAGTAGATTGTTTGCTTAATGGGTGGATCAAGGCATTGGGCAAACAATTATACATGATACACGCCGATGAGGACAGTCTTTCTCTTCAGGATGTCATGTTCTATCATTCCGTAATGAAGTAATGACTTCTTGGCAAGCTGGCAGCTGAGGCCTACAACCCTCTTCGATGCTATGCCAAGCAAACACAAAGGTAATGCGTGGACACCATATCCTCCGGGTGGAGCATTTGCAGAACTTTTCATTCTCCCCCTTAAACATATGGGATCTATACCTAGACCTTCCCAATTCCAACATACAACATTTCATTTTTATGTATGTAATAGAAGAGTTCTACCATCCCAGGACAGGGTGGCTCTGAAGAGGAAAGAGCATTTAATGAAATAAAGTGTTACCATTCGAATTTCAAACTTACTGCCAATGGTAACTCAGTAACTGCTTTATATTGACTCTTCTGGTTAGAAGAGTCTGCACAAAAAAATAAAGCAAAACAAAACAAAAATCTTAAGGGAATTCCTGGCACCGTGTTTGACCAGAAGGGAATGCAAGAGTTTAAGAGTCATCCAAATCTGATCAACTTTTCACCCTGGGTTCTGTTTACAGACTCCTCAGCTCACATTGTTGGAATGAGACAAATATAGCCACTTTTGCTTTGATCTGAAGTCAGTTTGGCTTTCCAATCCTGGCACAATGGTGACATTTAAGAGGCAAGGGGATAAAATTATTTTCATTCCAACCTCTTAAACATGTGAAGACTTACAATACAACTCTGGCCAACTATGAAGTTAGACCTCAACGGGCGATTTCTTTTTTATAAAAAGTTCTTTTTCTTACAGTGCTGGCTATGCACAGAAGTATAAAGACTTCAGTGCCTCCATTCCCTTGGTTAATTTTATTTTAAGAAGATAAGGACGGATTTGAGAACAATGGGGGAGAAAGAATTGCCACAAGGTACAAGTCAGGCCAGGGTGAGATGGGTCTTGTACACGAGCTTCTGTCCGTTTCCAAAAAAGATCACAGTAACTTTCAAAACAATTAGTCAGGCCTACAGAAAACAAAACAGACCCTTGTTTAGGTCTCTATTTACTCATCCCTCAACAGTAAGCTGTCTAAGTCACCCAAAGTCTTGCTGCCTCACCTGCGAGCCCCTCTCTTAATCTGACAGCTGAGGATAGTTACGAGCACTAAGGGAATTGAGGGCAAGCTTATAAATTAATGATTGAAGAGTCCCACCCATCTCGGAACAAAAGGTCTCCTTCCTCCAGTACCAGCCCTTCTTTCCAGTTCTACCACTCTTAAAGGAGACTAAGGGGTAGGGGTGGAGAGCGGGGAGTGAGAGGGACGGGAGGGATGGGTGGCGTACAGGCAAAGCCCGCAGTTTGTGAGATTTGCCTAACAGACACATACCTGTAGACACAAGCTTGTGTGGACTATCACCACAAGTTCGGATCTACGGGTTTGTGGCAACAGGCCTCAAGATCTTCTCTCGTTTGGGGGTTTGAGATGTCTGAAAATAAAACGTTAAAGCCATTAGTCCAACCAAAGATTCTGCCATTCTAATATTTTATGCCCCAAATGGAAAGACTTCCTCCTGCTCTTAGAAGGGCAAAGGTTAAGCCGCAGCACCTGTGTTCTCCCCCACGTAAGTCCCTCTGTTTTCACTTATTCCACAGATACACTAGGCTTTAGGTAAATCTCATCGGGTTACTGTTTAATATTATGGAAGGCTCATTTATTCAGACCTTAATACACGATCTGGCCAAAGTGGAATCAGATTGTAAGAGAGAGAGAGAGAGAGAAAGAGAGAGACATTGAGAAACACATGAAATCCCAAGTGCAAGTTCTTTCCTTTAAATGCCTGTAATTACATGAAAAAGGATGGTGAATTCTTCCCTTCTGTTTGCATTCTGGAAAACAGGTGGAATAAACTGGCAAGCACCACCAATAGGCTTATAAGTATTTTCTGAAAAGTCGTCTAAAGGAGATTTCTAGCTATATTAAATTAGAAGACTCATCTTCGGGACAAATTTGTGTTTTTGTTTCCACCCTACCCCCATTATTGGTCCCCAAACCAACACAGAACAAGTTTGGGCATATATTATAAAATCTGAGCTGGAAAAGAGATTGTGTAATTGTTCCCCCCAAAACTGTTCAAGGATGTGAAAATAGATCTGTTTCTGAGGGCTTCTAAAATGATTTCATTTGTCAATATAGCATTCTTTCTTCCAAGTCAATGTTCTACACGTAAAAACGAGACATCCAAGACAATGAAGCTTCATTAACCTCCTTTTGTGAATTTTCCTAGAGACATAGTTTGAATCATAAGCACTTCTAGGGACACATGATGAAAAGCAAAATAATCCCTCCCTAGATATTGGGAAAAACATATGTCTCCATCCTTCACATGACCTAAAAAGAAACTTTTTAATTTTTGTTAGCAATGTCTAAAGATTCTGGCTCTCAAAAAAATTCTCTTCCTTGGCCTCGACATATGAGCATGAGCCTTTCTCAAGATTAGGAGGCTCTACTAATAACAAAAGAGACAAAGCTGAATTTGGGGATTATTTAGAGAAAAGAACAGGCCCTTATGCACACAACCTGAAAGGTGAAAGCAAGAGAACACAAAACCAACCAACGGAAAGGACCAACAGGGATTGAGAGGTGACCCTTCACAGATTCTTCATCGTCTGCCTAGTTCATTAGGACTGAGCCGTGGGTAGGATTCCTGGCAGCCTACTTGTGCGGTGAAGGTTCCCCAAACTGAGAATTTAGGGGCATCTCTGTGGCTTGACTTTCAGATCCAAAGCAACAACCGTAGCTAGTGAAAATAAGTAGGATCCAAACCAATCACCTCGAAGTGGTCTTGGCTTTATTTTAAAATGCTCATTTCCCTTCTAAAATGAAAGATTTTAAAATGAACCCCAAGCCTCTTCTTTCCCTTTGATCTTTCTGACAAAGGCACGGGTCCAGAAGCATTTGAGGATGGGCACTCTGCATGCTGTTAAGTGTTGCTGGAGCACGTGTGAGGAAGAACTCTCATTCAAGTGGAAAGGAACCAGCCCAGGCTTCCAAAGTGATGAGGGCTAACTATTATTATCGGGTTTATTGAAAAGATGGAATGCAGTATTTGTTTGCAATGAACAAAAGATCTGTTAAAGTGTTACACTTGGTCATTCAATTAGAACAATCTTCATACACTCGCACCCTCGGACCCCCAAAAAAGGAGTGCGATGCTATGTTTTAATTGGGGGCATCTCTTGCGCTCCCTCTCTCTCTCTCTCTCTCTCTTTTTTTTTTTTTGGTAAATATAGGACAGAGAGAAGCTATTCATTCCAAATGGTCTGTAGCGTTAGCTTCCAAACAATCCAAGGTTTTAATTTCAGAAAATAAAAGAAAAATCAGAAGATGTCTAGATTGCAGGGGAAAAAATAAGTCAAATCCTGACCTCACAGGAGAATGGTGTGTTTGGGAGAAGATCTTTTCTCCAAAATATTAATTGACTACTTCCTTCAAGAACCTTCTCTGTGTTAAGGAGGAAAAGAAAGGTTCTTTTCAGAGGAAATTTTGGCTTGCTTTATGAAGCAAGATTCTGTGGGGCTCTGTGAGATAGTAATACTCATAATTAAGTTGGAAAATAGAGGCTGAATGCTTATGAACAATGGCAAAGCAGAGTAAGGTAATTTATCAAACAAATATATCATTTATGCTATTAAACATTCTTAAGTGACATGAAGTCCTTCAATACCACTAAAAGGAAACTACCTGTATCACGATAGCTGAGCTCAAATCTTAGCCACTGGACAGGTATGGGGATAGCTGCATTAAACACCATACTGTATTACCAATCTAGGACTAAAGTTAAAATGTCAATATTGTTATTATGCAATTTATACAAGCCCTATCTTCCAGGAATTCAGAGCACGGTAGGCTTTTTAGAGATAATCATCTAATATTTACATTTTTAAATTCAATTACCCAAGATAGCCACAGAGTTTAAGGACAGTGCCTGATGGTCTCAAATGAGTTAAGTCATTGTCAAAAGAAGTAAGCACCGCTAAGTAATAACTTTAAATTTTTTTTCTGAATTCCATAGAATTGAATGCCATGACTGCTCTACTCATTTGCTATGAATCTTATAAAGCTATTTGCCAGTTAAAAAAAAATCAAGTTTACAATGCAGTTATTCTTCAGAACTAAAGCATTCAGGCACGCTCTAAAAATTTGCAGTACTTGAGGAAATGGAAGGTTTGGAGAAAGTTATAGGAAAACACTATTACCTGAAAAAAGTAACTTCTTAGGAATCCTATTTTTTAAGCTCGTTGCCATCTTGCTAGGCCAATATCTTCAAACCATTAGCCCGTGTCTGGAAAATAAAATTATTTTAAGTGGATCAAGACCCTTTGTTTGTTTTTTGGTTGGTTTCTTTTTGCCACCCAATTCTTGATTAAAGCTAAATTAGAATTAACGCCGGAATGAGAGTAAAAAGGGAACACCAAACACTGAAATAAAAATAATTCTAGAAAATCACTGGGCAACATTATGTTTACTTCATTTCCCAAACTACACATGTTATAAAGGTCCTGCAAATAAGTCACTTTCACATTTTTCCTGGAATTTCCCTGGCTATCGACAAACCCTGAGAACGATTTTACCAGAAAAATGATCAAATAGGAATGTGAGGTCTCAAAATACTCGCAAATGCCAATGTTTTATACCAAACCGCTCATTTGCTAAACATGATTAAGAGACAGGCTATCAATAATTAAGAATGGTTAAGGTATAATCAAGTTGGGCAATCATTACCTGGCATGATGTAGCATCACTGAAACATCGTTTTAACTTTTTGATTCTGAAATGTTTCGGGAGTCATTATTTTTCTCTGCTGATGGGGCTGTTAAAAAGAAGTAAAATATCTTATTGTGGAGAATTCATGAATCTATCCCCCTTCCACCACAGCAGGATTCTTGGCTTCCATTCCAACGTTCTTTCATTGGCCATGTTTTAGACGCAGGGTTTGCTTTTCCTTCATTGTTCCTTTACTAATGGAAGGCAAACTCACCGTGCAGCTGCTTGCAAAAGGGAAAATGTATTTGAGTTTTGCCTGGCTGTGGGCTTGAACACCAAATCCATGGTGATGTCAGCAGAACGACACCAACAGAAAGATTTCCTGCCCTCCACCCTCCTTCTTTTTTAAAGATGTACGGCTTGTACCGAATCTCAGCAGACCTCCTTTGTCCTGAGGGGATAGAGCAATTCAAGTGAACTTTTTAAAAAGGAAGGCAAGAGAGAAGTGAAAGAAAGAGGGAGAGAGAGAAGTGAAAGAGAGAGAGAAGTGAAAGAGAGAGAGAGAAAATTAGGAAGAAAGGAAAGAAAAAAGAAAAGGAGGCAGAAAAAAGAGAAAGAAAAAAAAAGAGAAACAGAGAGAAAAAGAGAGGGAGGGAGGGAGAGAGGATGGAAAAAAGGAAAGGAAAAACAAAAAGGAAAAACAAAAACCAACCAAAAAAAGAGTCAAATCTACCCTTTGGCATTCATCATGAAGGAGGGGAGACAGCTAGTCTTTGGTCTCCCTATGGCTTTTCTGTTTTCCTGATGTCTTTTCTCTCACCCTCTGCGGCCCTCGCTTTTTGTAGGAAGATCCAATCACCTCAACAAAAGAGGCACATCCAGCAATTGCTGCTCCAGGAGACATTCACTGGTGCCATGCGCCACACCGCGCACCATCCACCTGCGATCTGCCACCGGGACACCAGACCCCAGTGTGGGAACGCCTCTCAGGCGTGCACTGCAGAGCCTCCGGCACCAAAGCCAGCTAGCTTAGGTAGAATTAATTCTTCCCTGCCCAGGAAAAACTGACCAGAAGGGAGCGGGAGGGAGGAGACTGGCCAGGCAACGCCATCGTTTTCGTGCTCCTTTCGGCCGAAGGGAAAATTAGAATTGATGTTGATAAGCTTCCTATCACACCCACCACCAACCCCCCCCACATTAAAAAACATTAATATTTTACATAAAGTGAAAAATGAAGGTGTGGCTAGGTCAACTAAAGACAAAGACGTGCAAATGGTATGACAGAATGAGACAGGGTGGACAAAAGCAAAAGATGCCCTCAGATTGCTTTTAAATAACAAAAAAAAAGCAGCCCACTCCTCAAACAGTCTGGAACCCACTCAATGTTCGCCCTCAACAGACGCGTAAGAGAGATCAACTATTTCAGAGTGAGGAACTGGAGGCAAATTTGCTTTCGATACACCCGAAGAGACAAAGGAAAAAGAGGCTGCCAGTAACAAGTTGTCTCGTGTGCAACTGGCTAAGGAGACTACTTTCACTTTTGAAAGCAATAAGTTTGCTTAGGATGACAATTTTTCTTCCTTTTTAAAATGCAAACAATGATGCCAGGCTACACCTTTCCTTTCTAGCTAGATGGTTTAATAAGGCCAGGAGGGTTTCTTCAATGAATCACCATTTTAAGAAACATAGAAGACCCTGGTTCTGATATGGAAACATGAGATACAGATTTTTAAAGATCAGACGTCTGTCATTTCTTTAATATAAATGAACTGTACGTTGCACAAGGCTTCCCGTATGCCGGCCAACTTTAACACTTTTATTCTCAAAGCTATGTTTTGCTCTTGAGAAAACAGCCCGCAATTAGATCAGGAAGCTACGAATTAAGTGCGGGTACAGAGAGGCTTGGGAAAGAACTGACAATTAAATCACTTGGACCCTGCGAGAAAAGAGATAAGCAACATGCGAAGAGTCAGGGTGTCCTCTGGAACCTTGACCGTGTAACAATGGGATGCTTGTTCCAGGAAAAGTACAAGAGAGCCTGGAGCCCCTGCAAGGTTGTCTACAACCATCAAACACAAGAAACCAAGTTCGGCTGCCACAGAAAGACCTTTTTGCCTTACTGCAGGGTATAGATTTACTCAGAGGGAACATCTGAACAGCCTAGCAAGCCCCCACATCTCAGCCTAAGAGAGGCCAGCTTTTCTCCGCGCAGGCTCTCCACGTCTACTGATTTCCACCTTTCCCTCTTGCTTCCTTCAGAACAACAAACAACCAAGGGAACACGATTTTATATCGTCTTCGCCAAGGTGAAGTTTGGAAAGAAAAAAGTATTAATCTACATTATCTACTTCTTGCTCTCAACTTTTCCTAGGATCAATCTCTTTCTTCTCCCTCCCTCCCTCTCTCTCTCTCTCTCTCTCTCTCTCACACACACACACACACACACACACACACACACACACACTGCTGCTTGGTCCAATCTGGTGCCTGCTTAAAAACAACAGAATGACAAGCAACAACTGCTTATAAAAGAGCCAAAATCAAACCTTAACGTTTTTTGGCCAGGTTTTTTTTTTTTTTCTTTTTTTCCCCTGACTCTCAGAGGGGAGGGAGCAAGAAGGAGAAATGCTAAGATTTACATTCGGCATCAGCTCCAGTGAAGCAGGAACTCTACTCCCCCAGAGTTACTTCAGAGGAAAGCACTGTGAGGTAAAATCACTGCAGTATTTCTGTTTGTCTCCCCTGAAGCAAGCCCGATTGCATAAAAGCCAACATACCAGATTCCTAAAAGTCAGGGCTTTTTTTCCTAATAGCTTTATATTCTAATTATATTATATTCTAATGAGAATTACAGGACCCTGTGTGTATGTGTGTGTATGTACGTGTTGGGGGGGGGCAAGAGGTGAGAGACGCAAAGGGAGAAGAACAAGACAAAAAAATGACAAAAGATACGTGGACAGGAAGGGAGCTGTGGCTTCTCCCCACTTTGCAACACACGGGTGTATAAACAGGCACGTTCACCCATATGCCACACACGGGATCGCACTCTGGAAACCGGGAGGCCGTGGCAGAAACTTGCACAGCTGTGGCCATCAGAAACAGGCTCTGTCATTCCCCCGCGGAGATGCGAATTTCTGGAAAGCGACCAACAGTCCACAAAGTCACAATGCAAAAGAGCAGAGCCACCTCAGGGAGGGAGGGGCCCCGGGGTGGGACGGAGCTGGGAAGGGAGACAAGGGTTTGCTACCAACTGAAACACTTTGGCCCTCCTAGAAGAGACATCGAGGACTGTTAGACGCCCAACTCCCGTGTCGCTCGGGGTTTGGAAGAAACCCACACACATTAAGGGAAAAATAAATTCAGACAAGTTGCTAAGGAGACTTGTGTAAACTCCAAGCACAGACATATTTCTTGGCCTTTCCCCCTCTGCTCCATCTTGTATTCTGATCACGCAGCTCTGCGGTAACACTACCCCAACCTCCTGCATTAATCTTGGCCTTCACCACGCAGACTGGCAAAGCACGCTGGTTGTATATATCATCATCTTTCAAACTTAACAAGTTAAAAGGGTGTGTGTGTGCACGTGTGTGTGTTGGAGGGAGAGAGTGGGGGAACTTAATTTGGAATTTTTTAAACATAGGTGTTGAACAAAGAAGGATACTTAGACTGCGTGTTTGGGGGGCAGTGAGGAAAGGTAAGACACCTAGCGCTGGAAATTTCTCTTCGCCTGTGTGTGACACCCTTTCTCCGTGCCCTCAGTCTGCCCCCGCCCCCACCCCCACCTCCAGTTAGAATCCTGTATTCCCGGCAGAGGTAAGCCGTGCCTGAATCGTTACAGAGGCCGGTGTAGGGGCCCAGGCTTATGCAGAGCACAGTGCATTCCACAAAGTGGAACCCTGTTTCCGGCTCCGCTGCTCAGGAGGGTGTCCCAGAGAGATCAGCTTTTGAGAACAAACTGGAACGATTCCGAAAACTTCTAAACCAAACCTGTTTAGATTCTAAACCAGTTAGCATTTCGGAGGAGGGACCCCAGTCCAATACCCATGCTCCAGAGCAGAGGCCTTCTCCCATAGTGACACATCTTTTGCAGCAGCTGATATATGTCAACATTTGATTTAGGGGAAAATTAACATTTCCTTTCAGGACAGAGATGTTTGTACTGTAGAAGCTAATATTTTCCTTTCTCAGCCTCCTGTATTAGAATTTCTAAAATCTTCCCTAGGATATGGAGAGGGTAGACAATACATAGCCTCAATCATTACTCAGGGTGCTGGGGCAAACCAAAGTCAGGTCTGAGTGTGCGTGTGCGTGTGCGTGCGTGTGCGCGCTTGTATGTTTTTGTGTGCATGTGTGTGTTTGTGTATGTATGCATGGGTCCCTGTGTCACTGTCATGGGCAGATTAGTAAGACACAAACCAAGAGAGCTGGAGGACGAGCATCTGTTTGGTCTCTTCCCAAATTAGAGAAGTTCACAACGTCTGTCCACCAGCCACAACAGAAAAACTCCAGTGAGGGGCAACCGACCAAACCTGCTGCTATTTTACCTCAATTCTCAGGGTGGACAAGGGACGAGCAAGGGGATGGGAAAAGCATCTGCATTCCGTGCACAGGGCTGGGTGTGTCCCTTCGGCAGGCTCCAAGAAGGCTATGCGGCTCCCTCTCTCCTCCTTGCCAACCTTTATTTGGTCTTCACACTTCAAAGCTACAGCAAGCTGTTCTGCCTCAGTTGAAATCAGGCAGCCAGGCAACTCTTAAACTGGCAAGATGGAGATTTCGCTCCTGCCACTCGCGGAGAAAAACATAACCCAGCAACCAGCCCTGCTTGCCCGCCCTTTCCAGACACCTCTATGAAACCGAAGCCCGGATTTTGGGGAAGAGGGGATCATTGGAGTTCTTTATGACCTTTTCCCTACCAGGCCTATCCTCTGGTGTTTGTGGCACGAAGCCATCATGACTCAATCAAAATGAAAAATGAACCTGGAGGGAGGAGAGCCTGGTGGGCCTATCCCAGCAGGCAACTGGGCAATTACCCTGTGACCTGGCTGGCCTGGGGGCAGTAGAATGACACCTCCATTTTTTTCATTTGCTTAGGAAGCCCAGGAAATC